GCAGGCCTGGGTGGATTGGGGGGGGAGGGTGGATTGGATTTGGGGGTGATACATGGGGGACGGTTGGTGTCTGTGGGCTGAAAGCGGAAATAAGGGGACGTTTCGGGGGAGGTGTGGACATTAGCGATGGGCAACCGGAGCCAGAATTTGCTTTGATACCCACTTGGTAGCTAGGTTTCCATCCACGGCTTGTGGGGCTGGGCTTGAGAGGGGGACCAGTAGCTATGAGTATCAGTGGAGAAACTGAGGACTGGCGTCCAGGGCGTGGGAAGAAAAGCCCAAATGTGAGGACTGGTCGAGGAGATGTCTAGGTGGGGGATAGATAGAGGGATTTTAACCCTTTTTGAGGCCAGTGCAGTTTATCAGAAGGTGTTTACCTTCCTTCCGGGCAGCGCTTTCCTTAACACAGTTGGCAACCCAGAAGCAGCATGCAAAGTCGTTCCATCTTAGATGTTTGTAGTTCGCTGTGGGTGTAACCGTTAAATAATTGGGGTGGAGGAAAGGTGTGTTTATTGTGTGTGCGCCTCTGTGCTGTCTCTGGCTGTGTCTCTCCTTCCCTCTCTCCCGTTTCCCAGTCAGAGGATAACTTGCTGAGGTCACTTCTTTCTTTCCACCCTGTGGGTCCTGGGGTTTGAACTGAGGTGGTTGTGGATCCGTTTCTACTGGCGTTTACAAAACTTGAAAGACTTCCTTCCCCTCATCCTTTGTATAGTAGGACTGGAATTACAAGTGACCACACTTGTACAAATCCCGGGTAGTGGTGGTGCACACCTTTAATCCCAGCACTCGGGAGGCAGAGGCAGGCAGATCTCTGTGAGTTCAAGGCCAGCCTGGTCTACAAGAGCTAGTTCCAGGACAGGCTCCAAAGCTACAGAAAAACCCTGTCTCCAAAAACAAAAACAAAAAAATACCAAAATGCTGAAAAAAATTGAGTACATCAGGTATTAATTAGCTAGAACTTAGAAAAAGTTAAGCATTATAAATTTTTATAGTCAGGGAAAGCCATTGGAAAGTTTTTTGATTTAGTTTGGATTTCTTGAGACAAGGTCTTTTCTCAAGTGTAGTCTTCACTGTCCTGATCTTACTCTGTAGATCAGGCTGACCCTGGAATTCACAGAGATCCCCCCCTAGTTCTGCCTCCTGAGTGCTGGGACTAAAGGTACTTGCCACCACACCAGTCCAAGCTTTAAGTACAAAGCAATCAGATCTGCTCTTGTGTATGTAATTAATTGAAGTATTTCTTTGCAATTCTGAGAACAGGGCCACAATTTTACTCATTGGGAAAGTGTTTTACTTCTTATCCTGTTTTACATCCTCAGCCTCTGCACGTGAAGAAAAGGGAAGGGTTGCTGAAAACACCCCCTTCACTAACCTTTACATAGCACTGTAGCAGGTGTCCGCCAGTGTCCTAAGTATCCCTGTTTTATAGATGAAGCTGCTACTCAAAGAAATTAAGTAACTTGTCCAGAGTTGCACTAGTAGTAAGTTCCAGAACCTGAGCTTAAAAGCCAAGAACCCCCCCCCCCCGGGGGTGTGAGTGTGTACATACCACTTGTGTCTGGTGTCTGGACTCCAAAAGAGTGTCCTGTCTGTAGTACATGGTTCTGAGCGGGTACATAGGTGCTGGGAATTGAACCAATAGGGAAGGACATGCTGGGAAGGACAGCCTGTGCTGTGCTCTTTACTGCTAAGGCATCTCTCTGCCTGGCCAGCGTGGTCTGAGCATGGCTCCTGCTGCAGTGGGGCTAGTGAGAGGTGATGGGGCCAGCCCTCCAACCAAGGGACTTCAGTAAGTGAGCAGAAGTCATGCCAATTGCTGGACTGGTCAGACGTTTCTGACTTGCATGATTTTGCGCCTTGCTCCAAAGGAGTGGTGCGTTTGTTGGGTGAGGGAAGGGAAGGAATGATGAGCTATAAACTTGTCAACTTCAGCCTCTAAGCCTTAGAGGCCACAGGAAATCCACTTTAAAACTGCAGCTTCTGGCCTTGTGGAGGTTACCACCTTCAGTGAGGCTCGGTTTTGTTCTCTGTAAATTAAGATAATAATAAAATCTACCTCGGAATGCTGTTTTAGAAATAAAGGGCATTGTGCTAAATCAAAAACATGGTATATTTCTTAATACAGATGTGACTTTATTAACCTCTACCGCTCCCCTAGGGAGAACTGTGTCTGCACTGATTGCCATTCCCTACCTTGTTTGGGGAAGAGAATTGAACTTAAGTAATTACTAAGGAAGCAATCAACAAATATGAGGTGCTTGGTACAGAAGGAAATTAGAGGGGTGATACTGGGATCTAGACAGCATTATCTGTGTGTGCGTCTGTGTTTGTGTGCGTGTGCACATGTATGTGCGTGTGTATGCGCACATGCTAGTAGGGATTATTGAACTAAGATTCCTTTGCATGCTATGCAAGCACTCTGCATCCCCAGCTTGGTCACACACAGAAGAGCCGATGGGGGTTGAGGAGGTCCTGGGGAGTTAGTGACTTAGGCAAGGGACAGCTCATTTCTGACAAAACCACTCCTAAGTTTGGCCAACTAAAAGCTGGATATGTCACTGATAATTTAAATTATTCTAACAGCCTATGTGTTGTAAGTGATAAGTATGTTGAATTGTGTTAGAGCCCATTTTGTAGTACAGAAAACATTAAGTAAATATGTTGGTGTCGAGAATAACAGATAGGAAGTGAGAAAATGGGGAAACATCCCACTTAATAGAGCAGTTTGACTTTACAGCTCTTATACACATATACTTATTAAATTTAAAATGATTTTAATATACTCATAAACAATATGACAGAATAATAGCACTATTCAATAATGTAATTGTACATCTTTTCCAGTGAAGGCAAAGATGACACTGGTCATCTGTAAATGGACGATGATAGCACAGACTTTATGGGGTCATTTCAAGGATACAGAGTGGTAATTCATGTAAGCACTTTGAAAGTGAATGGCTATTCATTAGCTAAGCTGGTTCAGCTCTCAGTGAGAGGAGACAAATGGAGTGAGCATTGTAGAAGTGCCTCCACGGCAGTGGTCACTTAAAGCGCTTTTGTTCACCAGGGCCAATACATTACATTCATCCCGTTTGCACCTCTGTATGTGGACTAGTTCAAATACTGAATAATTTCTCTTTAGCTAAGGTAGGTTTTTTAGAACAAAATTGAAGTTTTATCCTTAAATTATGCAATTGTGCAATCCCACTTTCACTTGCTAAATACTGGGATTGTGGCCATGTCTGCCTTAAAATTTTTTAATTTTGGTTTTACCATGAACAGTTTGTTTAAACGGGACATAAGTATCTCAGATGAGAGCAGCATTTACACGGAAGAAGTCAAGCTCCCTTGTTTATTTATTCTGTCTCCCTTTATATATATTTTTATTGTTGACCGAATGATTTTAAAGTTCACGAAGGGTGGGGACAGGAGTTTTGCCATGAAGAGTGCAGCAGATGGGCATATGTAATTCATCTTAACAACGCATGGGGTGTGATGCAATGATAAATCTAATAGGAATCTATGTAAACATGATCATAGTGTCTCCTCGAGTTATTATCAATAAAGTAGTCTCTAAGATGTTTTTGCTTATTTGTGTTTATAGAATGGCCCCAAGGCCTTCTGGGAGTAGCACAAGCAACTAGATTACTTATGAAGGCTTCAGTAATGGTAATTTAGGAAGTCAGAAGTGCTTTAGGAGCCTGGAGTGGCTGTGCACCCCTTTCCTTAGTCCCAACATTCTGGAGGCAGGCAGATCTCTTGAGTTTGAGGCCAGCCTGGTCTACAGAACGACCAGAGTGGCTTTGCCAGCCAGGATGACACACAGAAAAACCCTGTCTTAAGGGAAAAAAAGAAAACATTTTAGATATGTTCAGTATAGGGTCTAAATGAGAGATGTTGCTGAAATAAAAATGCTCCTGCCGTGTGTGTTAGGAATAAAGAGAAGGGAAGCTGTTCTCTGCCTGGGAATGCACCTTTCTCTCTCTCCATTGTTAGCGTAGTCTCGACAAGGTGTATGTTATAGCAGTAATTCTTGTCTGGTTTTCTAGGTAGTAACTGTCCATACAACATTTAAGAAAGGAGTGCTGTGACCTTGCTATAAGTTAGAGGCAAACAATCATAACTGGGCAATTTTTTGAATACATAGTACATATTTACATAGATGCATAGTTGTATGTCTACCTAAGTGTCTTCATTTACTCATGGAATGCTTTTAGGCGACTGCAAGCTGTGGGTTAAAACTTAATATAAAGATTTAAAAGGGTAGTGTGTGAGTTGTTTTCTTACGGGCAGACATTATTTTCTTTCACTTTTGTTTTCAGTATGATTCTCAACAGTTCACAAACTAGATGGTTTTATTCTTTTCTACTGATGAAGTTACGAGCTGATCTCATGTGCTCATACACAAAGCAAACTTTGGGTACAAAACCAAAACCATTGTCTCCAAGTTTCAATTTCTGGCCCAGTCCTTAGAAAAACTGCTTAGAGAGTAATAGGGCTGAAGTGCAAGAAAGGTCTGAGACTGCCCAGATAAGAGCCTCTGCAATGCCAGCTGAGTTTCCCACCTCCCTCTCATGCCCCCTGCCCAGTCCTAACCTGCCTTCTGGAACCTGGGGTTCTCCTCTTCCTAACTGCCTGTGGCTTGGCAACTTCCTGACTCGTCTTCCTGCCTATGGGCTTCCCAGTTGCAGTCTTCCACTAGCTCCTGCCCATGTACTTTCAACAGCTCAGTTGCCTACCAACAGCTACAGCCCTCTCTAAAGGCAGCCTGTAAACCAACATTGCTATTGCCTTGTCCTCCCTCATCTGGTCTTCAGGTTCTGGTGTGCCCTTTTCCCAGCTCTAGAGCTCATAGCCTCGGCCTGCTGGCCAGGCATGAAATGGGAAGACTTTAGCCTTCTTTGCTTTATAACAGAATAACTCCCAGATTTTGAGTACTCTTCTGGTATCTAGGTCAAACTGTACATTTCTTCATCTAGGTTTTCCTCCAGTGACTGATATTTTTGTTTTGTTTTGTTTCGTTTTGTTTTTGTAGTGAGAGCCCTCTCATGATAGCTCTTTTCATTTGTTAATTTATGGCTTCCCAGGGTATCTATGCAAATGCAAGCATATGTAAATATACCTCTCCCTCCCGTTTTTTGTTTGAATGTCAGCATACTATACATTCTTTGTCTTGGATCTTAATTTTTCTCTGTATCAAAAAGTATTTCCTCAGTCTCTGTTTCCAGATTGATAATATCCCATCATGTTCTTATACCAAAATTTATTTAACTTGTTCACCCACTTACAGACATTTGGAATGTTTTTCATTTATTATTAAAATATTATAGCATATAAATGGTGTCATTGCTTAATTCAGCTATATCAGATACTGCTGAATGAAACCTGTGTTAGAACTTTTGAGAAATGTTGATAAAGAGCCACTCAAATCCCACCTGATCTGATTGTCCCCAGCTCATCTGTAATATGTTCTCTTCTAACTACCACCGCTGCCTCAGTGTGTGTGCTGATGCAGATGCTATTTCTGCTCTGAGATTGAGAGGCTTCCTAGCCTCAGAATTTACTTTTATGCCTTTTGTGCATAAATTTTGCTCACACCTTTTGTATAAGTACTTGTTGCTATAACAATGAAAATAACGGCCGCTAGTCTTTGTTAGTATTTAATAAAGGCAGTGAGTGATCTTTAGAAGGCCTCTGAGGCATCACAAACCTAATTTTAAAATACTAAAGTTAGGCTGGGCATGGCATCATGCTTTTAATCCCAACACTCCAGAGGCAGAGGTTGAGTGAGCTCTGTGAGTTCCAGGGCATCCAAGACTATATAGCAAGACTCTGTTTCCAAAAAAGAAAAGATCTTGAAGTCTGTCATGGTACCTCACTCACACCTGTAATAGCAATTAAGAGACTGACACAGAAGGATTGTTGTGAGTTCCAGGCTAGGCTGACCTACATATCTGGGCTGCAGAGGAAAGTCAAGTTGTCTGGGGCAGTTGATTTGGTGTAGTTGGCTTCCCAACGTTTCCCAAATTGGAGTACTGCGTTCATATGTGAAGATGCATAGATCTTAGTGTTCACCCAGAACTATCACAAAGCATACTTTAAATATTTCTAGTTACTAGACTTAAGATAGTACTTGTGGTGGTGGCTCCTCTCTGTCTCCTACTGCATTTGTGTCTGACATCCCAGGCATCCAGGACGAAGGACAGGGCTTGGGAGGAAAGGAGAGAGGAGCAGAGCACCTGCGCAGCACCTTACTTCCCGATGATTAGCAGAGTGGATGCTCCTTCTGTCCCATTTAGACAGTCAAAGTTGTTGTGCATGTTGGCACACACCTTCAGATTTCTCTTCTTAATTCTTCGTGTGTGTGCGTGAGTGCTGGTGCCGTGGAGCTGGGATGACAGGCGGGTTGTAAACTGTCAGGCTTGAGTGGTGAGAACTCCGCTGGTCCTCTGGAAGAACAATGCTCATTCTTAACCATGGAGCTCTCCAGCCCCAAGGCTGCCTTTACTCCCAGCACCTGACAGAAGCAGACTGCAATCTCATATGCGGGGAGTTTGAGGCCATCGAGGTCTACATAACAAGTTTCAGGACAGCCAGGGGTGCAGGTGCAGAGACCTTGTCTCAAAAGTGTGTGTGTGTGTGTGTGTGTGTGTGTGTGTGTGTGTGTGTTGGCACTTATAATCAGAAATTTCTTTTTTGCTTGTTTTGTTTGTTTTTGTTTCCATGTGTAACAAACAACCTGGCTGTCCTGAAATTCTCTCTGTAGACCAGGCTGGCCTTGAACTCACAGAAATCCGCCTGTCTTTGCCTCCTAAAGTGCTAGAATTAAAAGCCTGTGCCACCACCACCTGGTGATTTTAATCTTTTAAAGGACTAAGTTTTATTTATCTGGGTCTCTTGAAGTAATATTGTTCGGTGATTAAAGCTTGAAAACATTAGTGTTTTTGAAACATAAAGTTAAATAATCGAACAAATCTGTAGCTTGCACAGCCTTTCAAAAGTTGAAAGTGTCTGTCTAAGGCTGTCACTGACCTGGGCCCTTCTCCCTCGCCTGTCCTTACAAACACCTGTGCCTACACACAAGTGCTATTGTTGTCAGACACTTTGCTATTGATTCATGTTGTCGCTCTAGAAATCTTCTTACTTTAAATGTGTATTCAAAATATTATTCAGTTAGTTAAAAAGAAAATGAAAACCCTGAAAACAAATAAAAGTTATAAAATGGTATCTAAGAAAATTATTTGCATCTTTATAGTCCCCTTATCAGAAACAATCACTATTACTGTCCATTACCCGTGAACCCCTCCAGAGATATTTTCTACCTGTGTGCATCCATGTGTGCACACACTTTTTTACATTTTCCTACACACTAGACAGCACATGCTCCGCATCTCAGAAGTTACTTTAATCATCTAAAGAGGTATGAGGTCTGCAGTGCAGTCTTTCACTACAGACAACACTGCTGCTCATGTCATGCGTACCTGTAACTCCATCCTCTGCCACAGAGTATCAGAACAAGCAGCATAGCTGAAGAGAGAGATCCTATCTCAGAACCCAAAAGGAAAAGAGAAAAATTCTGTGCTTGCGGGGACAAAAAGCTGCGTTCATTTCAAGCACTGTTGATTATATCTGTCCCTGCAGTTTCTGACTTGTCACACTGCAGTTGTTAACAGTGTGGTACACATTATGATCTGCTAGATGGAAACGGATTTTCCCCGTTTCCTTTTGTCTTTCTGATTATGGCCCAGCATTATTTGGTCCCAGTAAGAACTCTAGCTCAAACTGCCCAACAAGCTGGTTTGGACCCCATTTGTTCTGTCATCATTTGCATTACTTTTGTGTTTTATTTTCTCTTTGCATTGGAGCAAAAATGAGACATGGAAGTCAGGTATAGTGACTCACACCTGTCGTGGAAGGCAGAGGCTGCACAGTGATTTCCAGAGCAGCCTGTACTGGTCAGACAGCAACAATAAAAATGAGAGTTGCCTTAGAGCGTGTAACAACTACATTACATTACTTCATGAAGCTGCACTCTTTTCTCTGACCTGCCATGTCTGTCTGAGTTGATACTGTATGCAAGAATCCTTCCTTTCCCTGTCCTTTTGTCAGTGCCTCTCCCTAGCTAGACATACGTGCAGTCCTGGATAGACTGTGTGCAGTCCTGGATAGATGTGTGTGCAGTCCTGGATAGACTGTGTGCAGTCCTGGCTTCCATTGGTTTGGGCAGATTTTTTCAAAAGTGGTTCTCTCAACAATTATTGACTTAGCCTTTCTGTTAGACCTGCAAATTTCCTCTCAATAACCCATGGAATGCCAGTTCTGGGAGCAGAGTTTCACCTGGGCCCTCATCCCAACATAGATAATCATTTTTCTTTGAGGGGGAAAAAAAGACATTTTTAATTGTGACAAGATGGAAATTAAATTTACCAGTTTTACTTTCTTGCTTTTAAGTGGCAGCTCAGCCAGTGGCATTAAATATACTTACACTTCAGTCTTTTTTTTTTTTTGGATGAGCAAATGAGTAGTAATATTGGTTGTCTTGAGAATTACCCCAAACCAAATGTTCATTTCAACTCTCACCCTTTTTCCTCTAGACGAGGTCATACGGAAGCGTCTTCTGATTGATGGAGATGGTGCTGGGGATGACCGGAGAATTAATCTCCTCGTGAAGAGCTTTGTCAAGTGGTGCAACTCTGGATCCCAAGAGGAGGGGTACTTACTTCCTCAGCAGTTTCTATACCAGCGTCCTGGTGGAGCATTCTTCAGGCCATGTTAAATAGTTCTCTTCACCTTCCTTGTTCAGTGCAGCCCCTTCCTGACTGACTGACTATTCTCTTCCCAGCCTCCTTTGTGTCTGTATAACATGCAGAAAGCGCAGGAGTAAATGACAAAACAAAGATTAAATTCAGACTCAATAGTTTGATTACCTTTAATATAAAATCAGTATTTGCTTAATATCTCTAAATGAAGATTTCTCTTTTGTTACTAAGTTAATATATAAGTTTGCTGCAAAATGATTACACACTAATTTTTTGAAGTTTTTTCTGAATTTTCTGCTCAAGTGATTGCATTGTATAGAGTAGGAAAGGTGTAAGAACAGAATTCTGAAGAAAACTATTCATTTATATTTGTGTATGTGTGTGTCTGTGATTATTTCTTCTGGTTTTTTGAGATAGGGTTTCTCTGTAGTTTTTGGAGCCTGTCCTGGAACTAGCTCTTATAGACCAGGCTGGCCTTGAACTCACAGAGATCTGCCTGCCCCTGCCTAGGCAGGGTGCTGGGATTAAAGACATGCACCATAACCACCCGACTCTGAAAAACACTCTTAATCAAAATATTGTTAAAGGTGATTAAAATAATTCAAACAGATGACTTGAACTGAGCCTATAGTGCTGAGAATGGTAGCCTCACCTTGCCTTTGTAACCAGAGCAGCCTATAAGTTCAAGTACACCTTATCTATCCAAGAAAGTAGTAAAGGCGGGTATTCTAAGCTACTTTAAGTAAAGCAAATAATTGGCTGAACAAGGTTTCATTTAGTTTACAGTTTTTTTTAATGCTCTTTCTCCTTTTCATTAGATATAGCCAGTACCAACGTATGCTGAGCACTCTGTCTCAATGTGAATTTTCAATGGGCAAAACTTTGCTGGTATATGATATGAATCTCAGAGAAATGGAAAATTATGAAAAAATATACAAAGAAATAGGTAAGTACTGTTTCTTGGTATAATTTTTTGTGGTTTGAGAGAAAAACTGTCTGGTAATATTTGCACTGTAGTAAAGCTGTCAGTAATTGCAGGGTAATAAAGGTCTGGTAAATGTCAGCAGCCACGGTGCCATGTAATAAGATGGAGCATGATGTGTTGTGAATGTCAGCGTCTTGTGTGATCAGTGGAGCTTCTGTTAAAAAGTACAGATTATACATGTAATTATAATTACCTTCGTAAAACTCCCTTCTGTGTAGAATGTAGTATTGCGGGAGCACATGAGAAGATTGCTGAGTGTAAAAAGCAAATTCTTCAAGCAAAACGAATACGAAAAAATCGACAAGGTAAGAATGATTTGAAGGACTTTGTGTGTATATTTTATTCCCGACTACAACTTCCATGAAGATTTTAATATTGAAAGGTAAAATCTACAATGTGAATCAGTTTGTAAAAAATAATATATTTAATTCTTAAAACTCTGTTACTTAAAATGGAGAAGGCAAGGTATAGTGAAAAAGATTTTTATTTTGCTGAATTTTATTGGTTACCCAAGTATTTCTCAGACATTTTTCCTATCTTTATTTAGATCCTTTTTCTTAAGTAGTGTTGCAGTTTTGTCTGCTAAGGTGAGCTATACGACAGACAGAGGTGTTTATTTGGTGGTTTAATGAAGCTACTTTCAAAAAATGGAAAAGAATTTAAACATTTTGTTAAACACAAAGCAACCAAGCATTATCCACAGAAGTCCGTAACAGGAAAGTTAAGGTTTAGAGGACAGCAGGTTGGCCCATTGGGCAAAGCACTTACCACCAAGCATGGCAGCTGAGTTTGAGCCCCCCAAATTCTGTGTCCTGTGGTAGAGGAGAGGTGTGAGCCTCTAGCCATACCACAGCGCCACCACACACAGGCACTCTAAAGTACAGTGAAATACATTTACATATTTCTGAAGAAAGGCTAGAGTTTAGTTTTATTCCAATCTCTGTTCTTTTAAAGTTAGCATCGTCTCCATATGGTTCCTAAGATATTTGAAAGTCGTTTTAATTTTGTATGTATGTCTATACGTGAGTGCAGGGCCTATGGAGGGCAGAAGTTGAGGCAGTTGTGAGCTGCACCTGAGTGCTGAGAACTGAGTTTGGGTTCTGTGAAACAGCAGTGTGTGCTCTTAACTGCTCAGCCATTGCTCCAGCCTCAGAAATCATTTTTAATGGCAGGAACATTGCTCCTCCTGGGGGCTGGAGAGATGACTCAAAGGTTAAGAGCACTGACTGCTCTTCCAGAGGGCCTGAGTTCAATTCCCAGCAGCCCATATGGTGGCTCACAGCTATCTATAATGAGATCTGGTGCCCCCTTCTGACCTGCAGGCGTACATGGAGGCTGAACACTGTGTACATAATAAATAAATCTTTTTTAAAAAAAGTATCACATTAAAAAAAACAAAAAAATAAAAAAAACATTGCTCCTCCTGTCACGTAAATTGGAAGAAGTAAAAATAAAGAGCAATGTTTGCGTGGTGGTACATACTTGAAGTCCCATCACTTGGCTAAGGCAAGAGGGTTACAGATTCTCGGTAAGTCTGGGTCTCGTGGGAGCTTAACTCTAAGTCATTTAAGTAAATGACAGCCTTAACTGACAGCATTGTGAAAAACTCAGTGGGAATAGAAAATGTTGTTATTTGATGATGGTGAGGTTTTGTGGCTTAATTTCTGTTTTGTTTTATACTGAAAAATATATTTTTTATAATGTAAAAGATTATTTAAAATAGAATCAGCCTCACTGACTTACTATGCAGTGTCCTGAAACAATGAGTTGCATGTTTTAGTGAGCTAATCAATTCAGTATTTTACCACCATCACCACTACCCGCACTTTTCTTTTCCTGAGACAGGGTTCTCTGTGTAGCCCCGACTGTCCTGGAACTCACTTTGTTAGGCCAGGCTGGCCTCGAATTCACAGAGATCTGCCTGCCTCTGCCTCGCAAGTGCTGGGATTAAAGGCATGTGCTACCACTGCCTGGCAACCAACCTTTTATTTTGTCACATGAATGGGAAAGCAGAAGTGAGAGGTAAAGTCCCTGTTTGGGACACTGTTAAATCGTGAATGATTGTGATCATGACTGAATTAAGGGAATTGCCAATGTTCTTCATCACCATTATTGTCTTTTCCACGAGGCAGTTCATGAAGATGATATGCTTGTTTGTAATTTTATATTGTTTTAAATTATACTAATAAACTTAGTTCTTCCAGTTTTTTAAGTCAACCACGCCAGCAATTGAAAACAAATACGAAAAGTTCATGCTATGTGATGTTTTACTCTTTTGGCTTTTGGGGGGCCCGCCACCCAGGTCCCAGATAAATCACACAAGGAGACTTATTCTTAGTTATGAGTGCCTGGCTTTAGCTTGGCTTGTTCTTGCCAGCTTTTCTTAAATTATTCTGTCTATCTTTTGCCTCTGGGCTTTTATCTTTCTCTATTTCTGTATACCTTTCTTTCCTAATTACTCTGTGACTGACTGGTGGCTGGATGTGTGGGTAGCTGCCCCTGATGTCCTCCTCTTCCTGTGTCTGGCTTTTCTTTCTCTCTCTCCTTGTTCTCTCTTTATACTCTGTGTGCTAGCCCTGCCTATCCTTGCTTCTGCCCTGCTATTGGCCATTAATCTCTTTATTAGGACCATCAAGTATTTTAGACAGGCAAAGAATCACAGCTTCACAGTTATTCAAATGCAGCATAAAGAAAAGTAACACACATAAAAATAATATTCCCAGCAAATTCAGTCAGATAAACTAATAGAAGCAAGGGCTATATCTGTTATCTCGGGCTCTTCAAATGGACGGCTTGTTTTTGCTTCCTTGGTCCTCAGTCTTTTTGGGCTGACCAAAATGGAGATGAAGGTCACACAGCAGGAGATGGGAGATTTCCTTCACCTTCTTCATCTCCAGAGGAATTGTATTAATGTTCGTAGTCATCGCTTCCAGTTTTTGCTTGTGGTGATGATTATTCTTAAACATCCTTCCACATTGTAATCCATCACTGAAAGAAGTCAGGACAGGAACAGAAACAGGGCAGAAATCTGGAGGCAGGAGCTGATGCAGAGGCCTTGGGGGATGCTATTTATGACTTGCTTCCCATAGCTTGCCTTTTTTGGGATTGAGACAGCATTCTCTGTGTTACAGCCCTGACTCCTGGAACTTGAGATGTGGACCAGGCTGGCCTCACACTCCCCGAGGTCCCGAGGTCTACCTGCCTCTGCCTTCTAAGTGCTGGGGTTAAAGGCTTGTGCCATGCCGGGCTTGTTATTGTCATTTCTCTACTAATTTAGGAAAGTGAAGTTCTGATAATCCAGGTTCAAAAAGGTGCTTAATTTATCAAATATTTTCATGTCTTTCAGAATATGACGCTTTGGCAAAAGTGATCCAGCATCATCCAGATAGGCATGAGACGCTGAAGTAAGTTTAGAGCATTACAAGGAGCTGCCTTTCTACAGATAGTTGGAAAATTCCTTAGGGAAAGACAATGATAATATGCATATCAAAATCACAAAAAGGACAGGTAGAACCTGACAAAGCAATACTACTCCGGAACAGGTGACTTGACCCAGGAAGGAGCCGGCATCCAAGGGGAAGTATCTGACATCCCAAACCATTAGATAGTTACTAAACATCCCTGAGTCCTGGATTCACCTATTCTCCTCATCTAATCTTTTGTGATAACCAGCTTTGGGGATGCCCAGATTTGTTTGTTAGCAAAGGTGGGGCATGCTCTCTTCATGCTCAATGCCTGTCTTCTGTAGAAATTTCTATGTAGTCTGTGAGCAGGTAATTTTGTGGGATTGACTATGTAAATTTGACTGCTAGAACAAAGAGTGAATGTCATAATGTCTCTAAGGCCTCCTGGTGTGGGGGATGGACAGGTCATTCTGTTACCCCTGCAGGAGAAGGTACACTGCTGAGGTGTTTTGGGAATGAATCCCATTCTGAAGGGAGAATCGAGACCTCACAAGGTTTCCACAGATATGACAGTGACTTTTCCAGAAGACAAGTGTTCCCACAGCTCTGCAAAATGGGTTGTTCCATGTGGACATGGATGTTTACACTTTCTGTGGATCTGCCTGTTGGTGTGTCAGCTGTACGTTCACTGTCTAGCCTTGTGGGCTCCAACACAGGATTGTTGAAGATCTATTGCGCATTTCATTTTCAGATAAACACATAGCGTACATCAAAAGGAAGGGGTGGTCATATTTCAGTATTACAGAATCTTACGCTGTTTGATTAGATTATCTCCTCTCTCTAATGGTACTACCTAGAGATAGTAATAATAATTACTATAATCCAGAATAAATTCATGTAGTATGCCTAAGAGGAAACAAATATGTGTACCAATGCAGACTATACTAGATACACATTTTGTAACAGCTCAAGATATAAACAGTAAAGAAGACTTAATAAATTTTAAATTATGAAACATATCCATCTCATTTATGAAAATTAGAAACTCAAATGTGTGTCCTAATACTGTTAATTATTCAGAGATACAAATGATGAATCTAAAAGAATTAGAATAATACACAGATTATCTGAGTGGTAAGTAGAGGGGAGAAATAGGAAATTGGGAGTCAGGTTCAGAGAGCATTTTAGTTAACTGGCAGAGTTTTTTTTACCAAAAGAAAAACTGAAGTTGGTATGCAAAATGTATCTGTTCATGGATTTTAGTCTACATGACATTTCCTTGTCATTTTAAAATTTGTATTTAAAAGTCTAGATGTAATAAATACAGTACAATTTAAGAGATCAGAAATCATTCTCAGTTTCAAATATCTTACCACAGGAGTGTTAGATTCCTTATTCTTTCCTTTCCTTTCCTTTTATGTGTTATGGATGCTTTGTCTGCATGCATGTCTGTGAACCACTTGCATGCTTGGTGTCCATGGTGGCCAGAAGAGGGTGTCATATGCCTGTGACTGGAGTCACAGACAGTTGTGAGCCACCATATAGTGCTGGGAATAGAACCTGGGTCCTCTGGAAGGGAAGCAGGTGCTCTTAACTGCCAAGTTATCTCTCCCATCTCTCAAGACCCTTTTATTTTCAGAATATTACTTAGTGACCAAAATAATTATAAATTCTCTTAAAAGTAACAAAATATGACATTGTTTATTTTGTTGTTTCCCCACAGGGAGCTAGAGGCTCTGGGCAAAGAACTGGAGCATCTCTCTCATATTAAAGAAAGTGTTGAAGATAAGGTATTTGAATAAATATATCCATAAGCCTTTATGTGTATGCATGTACACATGCATGAGAGAGAGAGAGAGAGAGAGAGAGAGAGAGAGAGAGAGAGAGAGAGAAGACCAATTTATTAAGTTGTTTCTTCTTAACACAGCTGGAATTGAGACGGAAACAATTTCATGTTCTTCTTAGTACCATCCACGAACTTCAACAAACATTGGAGAGTAAGTAAAAAAAAAAACATTTCAAAATTACTGCTTATGAAGATTTTAAATGATTAGGCTGTGTCTTTTAGAAGAATATCTTGGCTAGAGAGTCTACGTCCAGGATCTAGTGGTATAACAGGATGGCAGTAGAAAACACTCATTTGTTCAACTTTCTGTATGCATGCAGAAGAGCAGTAATGTAGTCTGTGCATTGCACACATGGCTAGTAGTAAGAACACTTCAGGGATGATGGGGAGTGTTTCTGATTAGTGATTCGGGACACGGGCAAGGTACTATAGTATCAGTATGTTAGGCTGCCCACATGCCTAGCAAATGAGGTACTCCAAGATTTTGAGGACTTGATTTTTCTTGTGACTGGAATTGTCTGTGTGTCTGATGATGATTGTCTTAAAAAAAAAAAAAATCAGGCTGAGACCTAGATATCAGTTTGTTTGTTTTTAATGAAATCTATCACACAACTTTTATACTCTTAGTAATGAGTAAGCATAACTGGATCAGAATTTTTAAATGTATCACATTTGTGTGTGTTTGGGGAGCGGGTTGCATACATGCTATGGCATGGGTGTGGAGGCCAGAGGGACAGTCTGTAGAAGTCAGTTCTCTTTCCCCGTGCAGGTCCCAGGATCCAGTCTAGATCATTAGGATCAACAAGATGTGCCTTTACTTGCTGAGCCATTTGCAGCCATAACTTTTCATGCATATACTGGCCATAAAATGCAGGCGACGTTGAGTAAAGTTCTGTGTCTTCTTACCTGCAGATGACGACAAGCTGTCAGAGGTGGACGACGTTCAAGAAAGTACCATGGAAGCAGACTCTAAGCCGTAGATGGGCTGACCATCCACAGTCACAGGGACAGTGGAAAGCTGCATGGGCTAACTGGGTTTGGTTTATTGTGCTCTTGAGATGCTTCAACTTTGGCAGTGAAATGCTTTGCTTTTAAATATTAATTCATGTCTCGCTCATATTTCTTCACAAAAAGGCAATGTATATGGTGTATGTGTGTTTTTTAAATGCGTATTTATCCTTAAAGGTAAAATTCAACATCTGAAAACATTTAACAAAATGTCTCAAGCTGGATCTTTGTTCTTATTCAAAACTGGGTATCTGGTAACAGGTGCCTCATGAAGTCAGCTGAGGAATCTGAGAAGATCACGTTTGGGATATACATGAGGAAACACTTTTGAAAGTGAGGGGCTGTGATCACTACATGTAGAATGTGTTCATTGCAGGGAAGGTTTCCACTCTGTTAGGATCAGTCCATCTGCATTGTTTTTCTGCGTCTCTGTTAGTGCTTGAGAAATGTGTTTAGTGTTTCCTCTCTACTCTTTAGGAGTCATTTCTTAAAATATTTATTTTTGGGCATGCATGCACGATACGGATGTTTCCATGCTTGTGCAAGGGGGTCCACTTGCTGTGGCATAGGTTAGGCTCAGATGGCGGCCTCGGCTGCTGCTCTCGTCTTCCACCTTGTTGGAGGCAGGCTCTCTTTGCTGCCGTGCTGTGTACTTGGAACTCAGAGGCTCCAGCAGGCGCATGGGCAGCATGTGCTGCTCAGCTTGTACTTCCTTGTGGTTCTCTTGGAAAGCCTTTGGAACTGCTTCGAAGACTGCAGGATCTCAGCCCCTAGGAACTCACACTGCTGAAGCTCGGCATGTCTTTGGGCCAAGAGCTTTGTGCATTTGTCAGTCACTCTTTCTATGAGGTCGTCCACCTGTGGTAAATACAAAGACACGAACTACTAAAAGCAAAAACTTTTTCCTGCGAGTGCTAAAGTAGTATTCTAATTCAGCTCATAGCAAACAGAGCTTGAACAGATTTACCACACAGGGGCTAAGACGACCTCTTTTCTTCTCAAGCCAGTGTGCGCCTCATTTTAATGGAATTCGCTTAATTCTTATTAGGCACTCGGTGTCATCCTAGATCCCCTTTGCAGTCCCTTAGCTACTCTCAGAAGCCCCCCCACTGACAGTATTTCTTAATGGTGATTGTTAATTATGCCCTGCTCCATGCTGTCTTACAGGGCAAACTGTTGAGTTAAGCCTGCTCTCTGATGCCTCTGAAACAGAAAAGTCTTTGCCCACAACCTGCATTTGAAGCTTCCCCACTGTCAGCTCTGGGTTCTGGAGGATGTCTTCCACGCACTGTTTCTTCTTTTTGAGTGCTGGGAAGTGTGGTCTCTTTTTTGATGAATATGGTACCTATTGTCAAAATGCAAAACATCCTATTAGAAAATGACTGTCAGTTCTACACTAGCAATCAACACTCATCCCCGGACAGTCTCACAAAGGGGGTTGTTTGCCAGGTAACACAGGTGAAATCTGTATTCCTAGTCCCTGCACCCCATGTATTTCCTTTGTGCCAAGAGCTCTCTAAAGAGTTCTATAGGGTGCAAAGAAATGAGACTGTTGGGCTCTGAAAGGATAGACAGTGTCAGGGATAAAAAGGCAGGTCACTGGAGAAGACAAGCATTTGCTCTGGCTGCTGAGCATGGGGGGCTGGCTGGTGGGAGCCAGTGCACAGGGGGTGTGGGCTGGTGGGGACCAGTGCACAGGGGGTGCGGACTGGTGGGGGCCAGTGCACAGGGTTTGCTGGGCTGGTGGGGGCCAGTGCACAGGAGACTCAGCACATTGCAACCAATTGTTCATTTGCTCTTGTGTCTCTTGAGTTTCATTATTTCCATGGCAATTCAGACATAAAGAAGCCCTGGATTCTTCTTGCCCACATCTGACATTTTTTTCCTTCTCCCTGCTTCCTATTACAAGTGCCCGTGGGAAAACATTCCTGGATGCTGAGACTTGCTGGCCGCATTCTCCACCCATTGTGCGCGACAGTCAGCTGCACAGAGAGCAGGGCCGTGTTTAAGTCCTACCCTTTGAAAAAGGTGCAGACCATCCCTGCCCTGCCAGCTTACTCACACCTAACCTTGATCCATCGAAAGAGTCCATCTGAGGGGCTTGGGGTTGTGTTTTCTCTTTTGCTGTGTAGACTCAGGCTAGCCAAAAACTCACCCAGTACCTGAGACTGGCCTCATCAACCCAAGACCTTTGTCTCCTGAGTGCACTACTACGTCATGCTAAAATTCCACTCTTTCCTCCTACCCAGCTAGTTTTTTTCTACTAAGCATCTACCGTAATTGGTGGTTGCTAAGTATTCCTGTGCTTGATCAGTATGACTGGCAAGTTGGGTGCTGAGGCAGGTTTTGTAAACCAGGATGAATGAGGAATGGCACAGAGAGAACAGGCCTTCTGTGGAGGGCACCTCTTTGCAATTCCTGCTAGTTTCCCAGAGCCATTGTGTTTTAGAAGGAAGGCAGAAACCAGTACTGGAGAGGTGGCTCAGCGTTTAAGATGACTGGCTGTTCTTCCAGAAGTCCTGAGTTCAGTTCCCATCAACCATACTGTGGCTCACAACCATCTATAATGAGATCTTGTGCCCTCTTCTGGCCATCAGGCATACATGCAGTCAGAATAATATACATTTGAAAAAAAGTAAATTCTTGCTAGGCTGTGCTGGCACAAGCCTTCAATCTTAGCACTGGGAGACAGGCGCGGATCTCTGTGAGTTCAAGGCCAACCTGGTCTACAGAGCAAGTTCCGTTCCAGGACAGGCTTCAAAATCTATAGAGAAATCCTTTCTTGAAATGTCCCCTCTCAAAAAAAAAAAAAAAAGTTGGAAACCTGCATTTTTGTTTGGAATAAATGTTGGACAAGTAATTCATAATTTATACATAACTTGGGGAGCATTGTGAGGGCTAACTAAAACCTTTCTATAGGGGTTGACAACTTCTGATATAATGTCTTTTGGTACATAGGAATCCTTAATTATAGCCAGAATTCTCCATCTTCTCGTCAGTGCCATTTATACCGAGAAGACTGTCCTGAAACTTTAGATGGGCGCCTTTCCCAGTAGCTCCACAGCTCAGCTCTACAGCTCAGCTCTACAGCTCAGCTCTACAGTTGGATCTGTGATGTGCAACTAGGGGCTCAGCTTCCACTTTTCCCACTGCCGTTATACAAGATCATCCTTACCCCACACTGCTCTACCGTATCTCGGTTTAATAATTCCATCCTCTACTGGATTATAACTTCCATAAAAAGCAAGACCGTATTCCATCAGATCCTCCCTGTTGTTCCCAAGCCCAGAAGTTGCCTAGAGGGAGTTACAGTAAATACCTGACAGCCCTAAAGCAAAACTCAGACTTGCTATGGTGCACTGACACTGATGGGAGTGCTGCTTGACGGACCTTCTGCAAAGCTAGAAGTGTGTATCACAAGCTGCATGCACTTAAGTAGCTTAGTGTGTGTGTGGTGTGATATGGGGAAAGCTGTTGTTTGAGAGGAATCTGGCTCATAGTAGAGTGCATGCTTGTTCGGTGTGACACCTAAAGTCAATTCCGAGAACCGTGAGGAAAGAAAAAGGAGAGACTCCGAATGAGAACCCTCAGCCTGTACTGGAAACCGGACTCTCCCACGCCTTCTCAGAAATCGCAAACTCCGAGTCATCCTAAAAAAATGTTTTCCCAGAATTGGGACCATTTCTGAGTAGAAAGTTGAAGCCTTTGCAGCCTGTCCTGGAACTCTCTCTATAGACCAGGCTGGCCTCGAACTCTGCCTCCTGCGTGCTGGGATTAAAGGCATGTGCCACCACTGCCTGGCCCCCAGGGTTCTGTTTTTACAATAAACAACTTGGAAGGGAGATGCGCACAGTATCTGGGACTCAGGAAGCTGGGGTAGGGGCATTGTTGAATTCTGAGAATTTGAAATCATCCAAGGCAACAAAATGAGATCCTGTCTCAAACCATTCAAACAATAAAAACAAAACCCAGCGGGGTGTGGTGGTGGCACACACCTTTAATCCCAGCATTCAGGAGACCAAAGGCTGACAGATCTCTTAAATTTGAGACATGCCTGGTCTACATAGTGAGTTCAGGTCTATATAGATAGACTGTATCTAGAAACTGATAATTTTCAAAAAAAAAAAGTAATTCTTAATCTGAGCACCTTGATCTCAGACACTTGAAGATAAGGATCAGCGAGATGGATTAGCAAGTAAATAAACCACCAGGCCTGAGGACTTGAATTAGGGTCCCCAAGACCCACACGGCAAAAGGGGAGTCAACCAAGGCAAGCTGCTGTCAGGCCTCCACACACTGTGGTCTGTGCACCCCTCCCTCATACATAATTAGCAAACAAAATAAAAGGTATCTTTGGTTTAGACTCAGGATTGCCTACAAAGTTTTGTTTTGTTTTGTTTTGGGACTGAGTTTCTGTGTTGCTTTGGAGCCTGTCCTGGAACTAGCTTGTCCTGGAACAGTCTAGTCTAGACCAGACTGGCCTTGAACTTGCAGAGGTCTGCCTGCCTCTGTCTCCCTAGTGCTAGGATTAAAGGCGTGTGCCACCACCACCCAGCGAAGTTTATATTTGAAAGTCAAGCCACTAAGCTACAAAACCAATAAATACTCCACAGGGACCTGCAGATGGAATTCAATAGGTAAGATTTTGCTGTGCATGTCTGAGGTCCTGAATTGTATCTTGAGAGCCCCCAAGTTTTAACAATGAAAACAAATCCAGGTGTGGTGGTAGACTGTCAAAATCCAGCACTGGGAAAGCAGACAGGGGCAGGTGTCTGAAGCTTGGTGCCCAGGCATCCTTACCTACTCCCTGAGCTCAGATCAAATCTAAGAGCAAAATAATCATGCGCACATGTGTTCGTATGCACACCAACAGGCCAGAACTTTCCACATAAAGAAAGAAAAAGAACCTCAATGCCTAAGCTTACAAATTAGAATTTATTCTAGACTGCATTCAACTTGTCTGCAGGTTGGACATACTTGGGTTATCTAGCCACGATAATGTCTGATGTTGTGAATGTAGCCATCTGAATTAATTCATTTTTGATTTTAAATTAACATTAAATAACACTAATTCAGTTGTCTTCCCTCTCAGACCGCACATGTGACTAAGAGCTGCTTTTTCAGACAAATGCTACCGCCTGCGCAGAGTTGCTGCAGGCAGCACCACCTTCCACGTAGCATCTGTACTGGCCAGATTCCTAGTGTGCGGCTGCAGCTTTTGGACAATTGAGTGAGACTGCACAAAGCTCCAGACTCTAGCGTAGGCCAAGCTGTGGAATGGGCTGAAGAGTGAGTCAAAAGCAGAAAGATCTGATTTGGACCCCCCCCCCGCCGCACCACCCCACCACCCCCCCCCACACGCCCACACCCACACGCCCGGGCCGGAGCTCATTGGTGGAAGGACAGAAGCAGCAGCAGGTCAAAGAGAACTTGGTATTTGTCAAGACCCAGAGAAACCGATTTATGTTGGTCTTTCATGGCTAGTTGAAGCCAGCACCTTACCTTCTGCAGCCCCGGAGGAAGTGATGTCACAGATAACCGCTTGGTGGTTCTTCTGGCTCGGAGGAGCTGATTTCCTCCGGTTACCTCTTCTTCCTCTGCTTCAACAACATCGAGCTGTATAGTTGCTTAAAGAGGAGGAGGAATATGTGAGGACCGCATGGTCTCCCTGAGCAAAATCATTCTGGAAAATGGCGTTATGTGCTGCTGTGCTGCTCTGGAAACTTCTCTCAGCAGGACCGAAAATAAAAACAGACTTGCTTTTCTGGTGTTAGGCTTCCTTCCGCACACAGCTGACTTTTGTAGTGGCGATTACCTACTCTGGGCGCTTTACTTTGTCCTGCATGGTTTTCACTTAGGCCATGGTGGGATTAGGAAAAGGGACCTTCAACTGCGAGGGTTAAATCAGTGTAATGGAGCAAACTTCACTTTGCTCTCCTAAAATCCAACCAAGACTCAGTCGCTCACACACTGTCAAAATGTATGTCCCGCATCTAAGAGCCTTTCCTTAACATTTTTAAATAATTTTTCTTTTTATGTTTGAGTTTTTTGTCTTTCATTTTTGTTTTTATGTTTTGTTTTTATGTTTTGCCTGAATGTATGCAAGTGCACCAAATGTGTAGTGTCTGCAGAGGCCAGAGAACGGTCCTAGATTCCCTGGCCTGTTGTCAGCCCCCATGGGGGTGCTAAGAACTGCCCTGCAAAGCAGCAAGTGCTGTTAACCACTGAACCATTTCTCGTTCCAAGTAGAGGCGTTCTTAATTATTTTCTTTTATGACTTTAGTCTCAGCTCAGTAGACATAAAAGCAAATTTAAAATGCAACTATAGGGTCAGGGAGATGACTCAGTGGGTAAGGGCACTTGCCACCAAGCCTGAGTTCAATGTCCAGGACCGACATGGTTGAAAGTGAGAACCGACTCCCTGACTTCCACATAAGCGCGCGCACACACACACACACTTACACGATACAGTTTTAAAAGATCTTAATGTGTGTGGGTGTGTATGGACATGTGCACATATAGAGGTCAGAGGGGGTATCATATCCTCTGGGGCTGCAGTTACAGGCAGTTATGAACCTGCCAACATACGTGTTGGAAACTGAACTCAGATCTGAAAGAGCAGCACATGCTCATAAACCATGGAGCCGTCTTCCTAGTTCTGTAATGAATAAGGGGTTGGAGAAGGGGCTCAGCAGTTAGAAACACTGACTCTTTTTCCAGAGGACCTGGGTTCAATTCCCAGAACCCACATGGCAGCACATAACCATCTCCAATGTTGGGAGATCTGACGCCCTCTCCTGGCTTCTACAGGTACCAGGCCCGCACACAATGTACTGTCATACAGGCAAGCAAAACATCCATATGCATAAAATAAAAGATATAAATGTAAAAAATGTAATAAAATAATAAAGTGACACCATAGAGACTCCTAGGTTAAGACAGCCAACTAGGAACTGACTCCTTGTGACCTGGTAACGGAGGAGAGCTAGACCATGAAACATATCCCAAAGACGAGGAAGTAATTAAATCACAGGAGACAACCGAAGAATGCGCTGAAAATGACTGGTAATATCCCCAAAAGGACTAAGCCCAGCTGGACACAGATTCCAGCTCCAGATGTTCGTTGGGAATGAGGGAGGGGAAGCAGAAGTGTCATTCAAGGGCTAACCTAGGCATCCCTGGCGAAAGGAGCGAGGCACTGCTCAAGATAGGCCTGCAGCACTCACGAGCATCAAATCCAGAGGTTATGTGGAGACAGATTTCCTTTATCAACAAGTGACAGTTGAGAGGAATTCTGTTTTCTCCACTGTGTATGAATCCAAGGACAGTGGTGAGGATTCCTTGTTTAAAATGAGCTACCTTAGGGGTTCTGAGAAGAGCCTAAATTTAGCTGGCCACATCCTCAAGAATTTGAGTCAGTCCTGGGAGGGTATGATGTTGACAAACTGAAAAGTGTGGCTAATCCCGGCAGAGAGCTTGGCTCAGGTAGTGCCCAGGGCAAGGTATCAATTCTGGCAGCTCTGAACCTACAATCAGCAGGCAGATCAAGTTCTGAACCCACATATCTACCATACTGAGCATTTAAACCCAGCTTAGGATATACGAGACCTGACCTCAAAAGTCAATAAGTAGATAAATAAAAATTTAAAAATCAGCGGCTGGTGATTGTAAAACAATAACAAATTTACCAAAGAAGAAATGAAGGGAAAATCCCTTTCACAGTTGCTTCAAATGAACAAACGAATGAACGAATGAGCTCTATTGCTCTTCCTCTCTAAGAAAAACAAGAATCACACCGGAGTTTGACTTTCTAATGTATGTGTCTATATGTGTGTCCACACTTATGTGTGCATATACATTCAGAATAAAAATGAATTTAGAAGCCAGGTGGTGGTGGCTCAGGCCTTGAATCCCAGCTGTCAGATCTCTGAATTCCAGGTCCACCTAACTCCAGAGCAAGTTCTAGAACAGCCAGGTCTACGCAAAGAAACCCTGCCTTGAAAAACCTAACAAAAACAAACGAACCGAGTTTAGAAGGGACTAGGCAACTTCCTAACCAGACTCAGACTCTGAGGAACCTTAAAGACAATATAATCCATTTCTCTCAGATTTTATAGATATATTAAATTGTATCCATATATGAATGAGCCAATTGAGGGGGAATCTCTGTGGAGTATGGAATTTGGTTCAGTTGACCTAGGAGGAGCCGGCGACTTTGCGGTTTAGATAAACCTCTCAGAGCTGCCGTGCCTAGAGGTGAAGGCTCACTTTTTGTCACCGTGACAGGATACCTGAGATAATTAACCTAGGAAGAGAAACAGTTATTTGGGTTCAGGTCTTAGATTTTCAAGGGGTAACAAATAGCAAGGGTGTGTAGTGTGATGGCGCCAAGTCACACTTTATGATCAGGAAGTCAAAGAGGGAGACAATGAGTTCAGTTGGATCTCACATTCGCCTTGCTAGGTAGGGCATGTCTCCAATGACTTAGGGAAATCCCCACCAACCCCACTTCCTGATAACAACACCCAAAGAGACAAGCCAGTGCAAGTGTCTTTGGGGACATTCAACAACCAAACTACGGTCTATTCTTGTTTTACTGGTTCTCTCGACTACTTAATATTAAATTGCAGTTGGTTACCATTCTCTGCGAGCTTTCTCATTCTTGGCTTGGTAAACAACCTGGGAGATGGAAGCTCCTTGACCAATCTAGACAGCAGGCCTTGTGTGTTGGAGAGGGTGGCTTCCTTCTGTCCTGCAGAGCTCCCCCTGCCAGCACGGGCTGACTGGCTTCCACACCTGCAGGACAACACTTTCCCCCAAACAGTCTTCATTTTCTTCATCAGGTTTCTTTTCTGATTGTTTTGTGTTGCATGAAATTCCAAGTCACTTTCACTCAATGATTCCTCTTTGGCGACCAGGACACTTTGTTTAGCTAAGTTGGTAGACATAGCTCTATGCCATCTAAACAAAAATTTAAACAAACAGCATTAATAATATAAAATGTTTGAGGGCCAGAGACATGGCTCGGTTGGGACAGTATTTGCTGCGCAAGTGTGGGGACCTGCATTCGGATCCCTAGAACATACATAAAATGTTTGGTGGGGACATGGAGACGGGAGGGTCACCAGGGTTGGCTCAGCAGTCAGCCTAGCGGAGCAATAGCAAGTTTCAGGATACTAGAGACCTTGCCTCAAGAGCATAAGGCAGAGAACCCTAGAGGAAGACAACTAAGTCCTTCTCTGCCCTCTGTACTGGCAAACACAGGCACCCTCTGCCTAGACTCGCACACACCTTACGTACACCATGTCCATACAACCTCTCACGTATTCTCCGGCTGCCACTTCTTATTCCTTGAAGAATATCATCTAAATGGATCCGTGCAGTGGATAACATTTCAAGCTTCGAGCATTTGTCTCTGCTTTGTTTTGATGTTTGATGCTGGGGGTGGAACGCACAGCCCTGGAAGGCTAGATAAGAGTTGGACTAGTAAGCCCTACCCTCAGCTCCAGGACGGTCATGTTTGTTAACAGAATTCTCTGGTGCCAACGTTTCCTTTCTTTCCATTGCTGAGTGAGACACCACATTATGGATATACCATGCTGTGTTCAACCATCCACTCATTGAAGGACATTTGAATTGTTTCCACTTGGGGCTATTATGAAAAGAACTATAAGCTTTAGGGTATAAGTTTTTCTGGGAATGCAAATCTTCATTTCCTCAGCATGAAATCCCAGCTACAGCATGATTACTTTGCTACACTATATGATGTTATGTTTATGTTATACATGTTTCTAATGTGGGTTAAAAGAAATTAATGCCCATTAAGGTGTTCTTCATATACTGCCTAATGTATCTGAGGTAAGGATGTTTCCATCTTCCAGCGAAACATTATTCCAAAGTGGGTGCCTATCTCTCGTCAGAGATTCTAGTGGGCACACAGTCACCGGAGTTCGACAGTATTGGTCTCACAGCCACACCTTTGGACTGTATGCTCTTGGGCATGTTATTAATTTTATATATAAATTTTGTTTTCTCTTTTGAAAATGGGTATAATCTTACAAGAAATCTGAAAATAGAAGGAAATAATTTGTGGCTTTGGATCCTAACAAAGTCTTCAATATGTGACAGACTTTATTAGTCTGAAGACCAAATGAGGAAGCACCTTCTAGAGGCGAAAGGAAGGCGGCTTCTTGGGCTGGACTCCTCCTATCTGGAAGAAAGGCCACAGAAGGAAATAAGCACCTTCTGGGGTCACTATTCACCCCAAGTCTTAATGGTTGTGCAGAATTGTTGCAATAAAGGGGTTCCGGGGAAGATGCCCCCCTTTCTTACTTGCCCAAAGATAACTTGTCAGCCAGAACCAACCTCCTGTGGATCTCCTGAGACTCTTATTAATAACTTTTAATAATTAATAATTAATTAATAATTAATTAATATTAATAATGTTTTAATAACTTATACTGCCATAGATATGTACATAGCCACGCTCACACACAATAGAAACACATGTAACCAACCTCTCAGGTTACAACAAATGCGTTGCTTTAAGCAGGCAGTGGTGGCACAAATCTGTCATCTCAGCACACAGGAGAATTAATGCAGGAGGACTGAGCACAAAGCCAGCCTGGGCTGTGACAAGACAGCCTCAGAAACAACAAATAAACACCCATGCCGTGCTGATTTGCATAACTTGATTAGAGAAGGTCACTTGTTCCAGGACCTAGGAAAGGAACTACTGAGAAGCTCACACGCAAAGGAAGTTCCCTTTTTAAAGTTTCTTTGTTTGCTTTTGTTCTTGTTTGTTAGAAATGGATTTGCTTCTCCACATTACTTTCTCCTTAAACCCTGATTTCTTTTTGTTTTAATTTTAATGATTTTTATTGAGCTCTACATTTTTCTCTGCTCCTCTCTCTGCCTCTCCCCTCCCCTTCAACTCTCTCCCAAGATCCCATGCTCCCAGTTTACTCAGGAGATCTTATCTTTTTCTATTTCCCATGTAGATTGATCCATGTATGTCTCTCTTAGGGTCCTCATTGTTGTCTACGTTCTCTGGGATTATGATTTGTGGGCTGGAAACCCTGATTTCTTAGTGGAAGCGAACAGCCCTGTAATATTTTACTTTATACATGCAAGGGTAGAAGCTTGACCTGTGACACCTCAGCTCCCCAGACAAACATCTCATAGGCATTTCTCTGAACTGTGGCTGCTGGGGCTACTGCGGAAGAGGCCCAAATACCATGGAAACTGAACTGCCAAACAGAATTTCAAAATTAAAAAGTGGCATGTTCTCAAGACTGTATTTCTTTATGGTTTTGTCACGGACAAGAAATACCAGGTCTGAGGCGGTTTTGAGGTTTCACTGAAGACTGTTCAAGGGGGAAATAGGACTAGGACACAATTCAGGAGTGGAAATTGCTTTAGCAGGGAGCAGGAAGCACTGATGGTGGATGAATACAAAAAGGACAAAAAGAATTAATAGATTTCCACAATTGCCCATTCACTGGTGTGGGGATGTGAGAAAACTAAAATACTGTTATTGGGAAAGTATCAACTTAATACTGACATTAATCACATATGACATATTAAAAATCGAATTTGGATAGAAAGCAAAGCCCTTTCCTTGTTGAAATTGAGGCTTTTAAAAGTGCAAAAAAAAAAAACAAAAAACAAACAAAAAAAAAAACACTTCAACAGTGCTCTACACCCTGGCCCAAGACAGCGCTTCCTCCATTCTGGAACACATACAGTCTAGATTCTTCAATTATGTTTAAAAGGAGACTCCACCTTCTGCAGTCTCATAAGGAGTCTTGCTTAATGAAAATCCCCAAAAGTACTGACGGGGAAGGAAATGAGCCTTTGTTACTTACCTTCCTACCCTCTTCCCTTTGAACGAGCCATTTTTCCGTTTGGGGTGCTGAATTTTTCGGTACTGGCCAATCTTCCCACAGGCAAGCTTCAGGGGTTCAGGTGAGAACAGCCGACGGTGCTCCATTCTGTCTGCTTTCCCTGGGATAAACGTTTGGGTCTCTTTAGCTCTTGAGCTAAGAACTCTAAGCAAAATCATCATCATCCCATGACAGAGAACACTGCTTAACTTTTGGATGTTGGGTTCAAACTACGTAGGAAGAATTTGGAGTCTCTTCCTCCTTGGCCATGTGTGGAACTAACTGTGTTTTACTTCAGGGGCTTCTAATGATGCAAGTGAGAGGAGCGTGGGGAATTCCACGGGACCCTGTGAAATGCCGCACAGAGAAGGCACATTCAGAGCAAGAAAGCCACAGCATAATTCCTCATCATACTTAGATCGTGTGAGTTCCGTAAGGGAGGAAGAGACACTGGATCTTGAACTTTTCTGTCAAACCGGCGTCCCAGAAGGGGACGCTCACCAAGAGGCAAGCTGTTCTCTTTGGCTGCCTCGGTGGCCACGGAAGAGGCTATTTCGTTACATCCTGAGATTCTGCTGAAGACTTTTAAAGCACAAGGCTAAAAAATGTTCGGTACCTGGACCACTTGCACGTTATTTCTGCGTTTATTTTATGGCTAAGAGCAAATCCTACCTAGGTGAGAATTTGACCACGAGGTGGCAGCAGCCACTAGGCTATAGGTTCATCTCGGTCCTCTGAGTTAGTGTGTTCAGCAGGACTGAATGGTTGAAAGGAAGCCTCTGGAAAACCGACGAAAGCTACATAATTTACTCTGCTTCCTGTGTTTGTAGCCACCAGTAATTTACATTACATAAAGTGCGTAGAATTTAGTTGGGGGTCTTGTTCAAATGCCGATTTCACTACAGTACCTTTGAGATGGGACCCAATACACAAGCCTCACAGATTCTCAGGTGGTGGCGATAACTTTGGTACACGGGATTTTGTATGTTTCAATATCTCCGAGAAGAGCTTTAGCTGGAACAAGGGACTGGGAGTATGAGTTAGGGCTGAGTACATGCTTAACACCCCTGAGACTCTGGGTCCAAAACTCACACAAATAAATAAGAGGAATAAATTGTGTGACATTGAGGTGCTAACATGGAGTGTTCAGGTGGTCCATTTGGGCTCCTGCTCCAGCCTGGTGGCGTGGCCTGAGTCATGTTTGTGCTTACTTTCTCATCTCTCAGGTGGGAATGCTGCTGGTGCCGTAGCTTTATAGTGGGGTTCAAGTGACACAGACACTCTGCTGTAGCAAGAAATGGACCTTACGGAACACACTGGACATCTCAGGATGCCGATGACCCCTGGTCACACTGTAGGGGTCCGCACCACACTGTGATGCTTTGGTACATGGGCTGGAGCCCTTTCCAGGCCTGGTTTTCCTCTAGGTGAAAATCATAGGTATTGAATGAATTGATACCTAAGTGAGCAATTCGTTCAGCCAGGATTTTTCATATAGTGATGGGTATTGCATCTGAATTCTGTGGGATTCAATCGAACTTGTGGTTGGCCGTGGCTGATTTTACGTCAGGGAGAGAGGCATTTTACTCATGTGAGTGCGTGTTGTGTTCATGTTTGCACATGTCTCTCTCTGTGCAAGTCTGCCTGCATGAACGAGGCCGGAACATTTGAGGCTTTCACATCTGGAAGGTCATAGAACAATCTTGAAGTATATAATCTGGCTACAAAAAATGTTCAGGGAAGAAGAACCAGGACACACACAGATGGCAGTGTTGAACTCAGGCTGGATTTAAATCCTCCTTTTATACCTAATAGGCTGTGGGGCCTTAGGAAATGGGAGGAAAGAAAACTCCCAAGCCTCAGTTTTCTTGTGATTAAAATAGGGAATAATCAGTAACACCTCCCACCAGGGTGGAGTCTGTCTTTCAGTTCTCAACAAATATTTGAATGCCTAATGGTTGCTAGGCACTGATATGGACATGAGGGACACTGCCCTGCATAGCAAGGCGCCCCCAACACACACACACACACACACACACACACACACACACACACACACAATCTGAACTATCTCAAAGTGCTATCGGAGAGCCGGATAACAAACACATGAAAAAAATCATTTCAGCCAGTAGTGAATGCTATGGAGAAATAAAAGGGGATAGTAGAATAAAATGGCAAGGGTGAGGGGCCACACTGTATGGAAACACAGGGAAAGTCTCTCTGGTGGGGTCACTGGGCCTACGAATTGAACAAGAAAAAAGAAAATAGTGTGTGATGATCTTCATGTTTCCAGACAGACAAAAACAGACACGAGGTGTGTATGTGATAAACAGAAGAAATAATCTGGGCCATTATCAGCAAAGGACTCCATGCCAATTTAAAGTTGTCTTGGCTTGATCTTCAGAGCAAGGGAAAGGAAAGTTAGTAGGGATTATAAGGAACTAGTAATTCATGTGTATTCGGGGCAATCGGATCCAGCCTGGAAAGAAATTACTTAGAATTCCTGCTAAGATTTACAATTCTTTTTGTTTGCTTGTTTGTTTGATTTTTGATTTTGTTTTTTGTTTTTCGAGACAGGGTTTCTCTGTAGCTTTGGAGCCTGTCCTGGAACTAGCTCCTGTAGACCAGGCTGGCCTTGAACTCACAGAGATCTGCCTGCCTCTGCCTCCCGAGTGCTGGGATTAAAGGTGTGCGCCACCACTGCCCAGCAGGTTTACAATTCTTGAAGAAGGAGCTTACACTCTAGGCATGTTTACAAATATAAATTATTTCAGAAACTAATAAAGGCTGCTACATAAAACTAGAAAGCCGCTACAGAAAAAGTTACCAAGGGACCAAGGAAAGCCTCTTAGAGAGGTGACATCTGAGATGAGATATTCCATGGGATAAAACTATGCTAAGCCTTGGGAGAAGCATTTAAAGACAACAAGAACTGGGAGACATTAACTAGGCATGTGTGGGAGCAGAAAGATCAGTCTGGTAGGAATCCAGGGGCGAGGGAGAGCACTTATGTCTGCCCAAAAGATGCCCAGGAGAGGGAAGGCTGCACCTGTAGAAAAGGCAGGCAGGTAATTAGTTCAGGGACCCCAGGTGGTGATGGTCCATTGACAGCAATATGAATTCAGAGGATATTTAGGAAGAGCAATGAGCAGGATGTGGGTCCGGGGGTACAGGTTCCTAGTGACTTAGGGAGTTACAATAATTCAAATATAAGAACAACAAGAGCTAGTTCCAGGACAGGCACCAAAAACTACGGAGAAACCCTGTCTTGAAAATCCAAAAAAAAAAAAAACCAAAGCAAACAAACAAACAAAAAAACAAAACAAATATAAGAACACAGGGATTTGAGGCTATAATTAGAGTCAGCCATGAAGGGCTCACACCTGGAAGAACAGAATTATAGTAGGTAGTTTCACTAAGGAGTATTCATCAGAGATAGAGACAGAAGTATGAATCCAAGCTTCCTTATAAATCTAGTTTTCTTTTCTGTAGCCCTCACAGTGCTTGGCTTGGCACCAGCTTATGTGAGCATTCCCTGGTCATTTGTAGATGTTCTTCTGAAAACCGATGAGTCTTCTACAGCAGGTCAAAGTCTGGTTCAAGTACAGCATCCCTTGCTCTCACCATTATCCTTCTGTTGAACACACATGAGATTGCATAATCCTATTTCAGTAACCATGGCAACGGTTGACTCCTATAGAGATAGCAATTGATTGCAATCTCTAAATCAGAGATTGCTAACACGGCTCCCCGCAGGAGCCTGGAATGGATTTGTGAGAAGCAGCGGGGTGTGACAGGGAGGGGTGGGGACTCTGGCAAATTGTAAAGTACTGGGACAATCAAATGTTACCGAACCACAAATTTTTGAGCTCTCTGAGTATAAAACTATAATCCACAGCCCATAGTTAGCTTGGAGGGCACCGTTTGCTGCTGTTTCCAGGTATTTTTGTGTTAACACTCCGAGCAGCTGGGTCTTCGCCATCGGTACTGCCTAGGTTTCACAACTTAAACTTCATAACATTCAGACGGCTCCTGGCTACTTCCAGGCTGTTTTGGCATTGTCTCTCTAATCTGGTCTGCTTGGCAACTCACAAACCCTTTGCAAATCCAGTAAACTGAGATTTCTAGCTTTTGGTTTTAAGCCTGGGTGTAATGAGCACACCAAGCAGGACAGGACAATGCGGGGCGGGGTCACTAGTAAATGAAATCCTTTTGAATCTTCAGAAGCCAAGTGAACTCATTTCCTGGAAAGCCCCCACCAATGCTAACCACCTCCACCTCCACGCCCCATCCCAAACACCCCATTTCCACCCAAGTCCCCTGAATCAGAATTTTTTTTTTTTCTCCAACCTGACTGAAATAGATCCCTTTGCTGGAGCTTTAGCGCTAAGCAGATAGGGTGTCAGTTTACAGAACAGAGAAGTGTGTACCTGGTGCCTAGAGACAGTGATCTCTTAAGGTGACTGACTCCACAGCAACAATATGAATGCCTTAGCAGTGGGCCAGCAAGGGCTGGAGCGCGGTGTCTGAAGAAGCCAGAGCCCTCCAGTAAGCCATGCTTTCTTCCCATTTCCTCTTCGCGCTGCTCACTGCCTCAGGTGAGTGTTTCTGGCTCTGGATACCTAAGCCCGACAGTTGGATTGTCTTCCACTGGGCTCCCTTTGCACTCATTCTAGCACTTTCTTAGGGCTGGCGTTTTGAACTCCAGCGCTCCCTGGTTGTACCTCATTGGATAATCTACCTTCTTATCAAAATATTTTCATATGTACAGCTTATAAGTCGGAATAGAGCACGTTCTCCGCGAGGCAGTGACCATCTCTGCCAGTATCTGAAGCCTGGAACCTCAGAGGCAAACTTCCATGGAAGTTTCTCTCACAGTGATAAAAAGATCTATGTGGTCATGTATCTTCTGTAATAGCAAGGACTAGGGGAAACAGCATCAGTAGATGATCAAAATGACCAGCCCCATGTTTGTGATGTGGTGTCAAAGCAAGGGACTTTGGTACACAGGTAAAATGGTTTAGAAATAGGAATTCAAGAATGTCTCTTTTAAATGTCTATCTGATTCATAATGAGGTAGACAGTGAAAGTACTAGAAACACATATACTAAGAATTTAACAAGGAATATTTTTGAGGCTCCAGGTAGAAATGAAAGTGATGGAAAATAAGTGGTTTAACTTTTATTTTATATATTTTCATATTTAGTTAACATGAGTTTCATTTTTACATAAAAAGCATGTACCAAGCCTTAGAAATACTTTAAATTATTGATTCATGTTGAAGTGATATTTAAGTACTTTGGATAAGTAAAATTACCTTAAAATAATTACTTTAAAATAATTAAGAACCTTCAACAACGTGGTTCCTAGAAAATTGCACTTTGGATAGACTTTTAATCATTATGGAATGGACAGACTACTGTCCAGTGCTGTGGACAACCTTACTTCAGTTTCAGTGCCCTTTATACATGGGTGTCACAAAGAAAGCAGTCATCCAAGGAAGTTGTTTAAGTTCACAGAAACATGGTTAGAAAAATATGTAAGTAAACACCAGTAAGCACATACTAAATATTGTCAGAGTAGCCCTTTCCCAGAACTTTCTAAGGACTTTTAATCCTAGAAGGTCTCTACATAAATTTTTCTTATTTGAATTTTTTTGTTGTTGTTATTGTTGAGAAAGGGTCTCACTGAGTGACCCTTGTAAGTCTGGACTTTGCTAGGGTGGCCTTGAATTTATTAAAATCCTCCTGCCTCTGCTTCCTGAGTGCTGACTTAAAAGTACGACCCTGTTGACTGTTGCTGACCTATGCTTTTCCGACTTGCTTTCCTGTGAAACCAAATTCTTGATTTTTGACACAAAATATATCGAAGAAAAAGTTGAAAACCAGTGGGTTCCTCACGGCAATGGCCAGGGAGGCATTAGATACAGAAACGAGCAACTAGCTACACGACCCAGCCTGCAGAATTGAACTGCAAAATCTGACCCGATTACATGACACACAGTGACAAGCTTTCAGGTGTGCTCAATGTCACATAAAATCTACGTAATTAGTGAGGAAGAACCACTTCGTTGACTGTGTCAGTCATTCGGTTAGCAAGTATTTCCTAAGTGTATCCTGTGGGCAGACACTCTTCTTGGGCCTGGGCATCCAGCACAGGGTAAACACGTGACTACCTCTGATTCTTGAAACTTGTATCTGAGGAGGAACTGTAAGGGACGGTACCCACAGTGTGAACACTTCGCTGTTTGTCCAGAGAAGATCTCAGGCACGGTGGCTCTTTGCCAGCGACATGAAGCAGATGGATGAGCTGTAGACATCCCCGAAGGATGCATTTTGGATTTCCTCGGTCCACATGAGGAGCAAGGAAGCCCGTGTGGCTGGAACAGAGTGAGTGGAGCCAGGGGAATCAAACGTGAGGTCAGACAAAGCAAGGCCTACCCTGGGAACTTAGCATTTTTATTTCATTCTTGGTTGCATATACGAGTGTTTGCCTACAGTACACGCGTGTAGGTCAGAGGATAACCTCTGATGTTGGATCTACCTTCTGCCTTGTTTGAGGCAGAGTTTCTTTGTTCTTTCCCGCTTCATTTGCCAGGCTGCCTGGAATGTTAGCTTCTGGGTTCTCCTGCCTCTGCCTCTCACCTCACATTAGGAATGCCGACATTATAGACGGGAGCGCACACAGCTGGCTTTAAGTAGATTCTAGGGAACAGAACTCAGTGAGTGCTTAACTCGTTGAGCCGACTTTTTGTTCCATATAAGATGTGCGGCCTTGGCCGACTCACAGAAAGGCAGCGATGCTGCCTGACGTGGGCTTTAGCACGTTGCCGTCTGTGCTGTGGGGAACTCAGTCGTGTAAATTACACTCATTAATATTTTCTGACATAATATAAACAATGCCTGCATTCAGTTTCTTTTGTTGCTGTACTAGTTTGTCAAACATCACACATTGGTGGTTGGATGTTTGGTATGTCTCACAGAGCTATAGTGAAACTTTCAGAGTTGTGCTCCTGCAGGGGGCGCCGGGATAGGTCCATTTCCTTTCCGTTCCTGGCCTCTAGAAGCTGTTCGTACGTCTCATTTCTGTTATCAAAGCCATCAGTGACTCATCTTTCCCACTGTTCACATTTTTCTGCTTTCTTTTGCTTTCCTCTTACACCTTAAGGTGGGATGGGCCCATGCGAGTAATCCAAGACAACTTCTTCCCTAAGAACGTTAGTTTACTCACGACTTCAAAGACTATTGCGCCGTGAGAATGTGCTATATGTTGTGGGGACTAGGAGCTAGGTATTTGCTAGGGCAAAGGGGCCATTCGGTCACAAGTTCCAAATGTTACTAAATCATCACACACATACACACGCACGCGCGCACACACATTGTTAGCATTCACACATCTCTAGAAAATGTATTTTAATCACAGAGAAAAAGTTCTGAACCAGACTTTGAAACAGAAAGAGGGAAATCCGTCGACACAACTGTGACTTGGAAGTTTTCAGACAGGGTCTTGAGCAGACAGACTGAAGCATGTACCTGAAAGCTGGGGGAGAGAGAATTACGAAACCCTGATGCCTGCAGAGAGCCCGAGGCTTTAGGAATAGATTCAGAACTTACAAAGATCAGAAAAGGCCTCTTGTAGTACAGGCACGTGAAGGCTGGAGGACACCATTGAGCAAAAGGGTCCAGGTGTGGGCGGATGGAAGCGGCGTCTGTGCACACTGAAACAGGAAAATCTAAAATGGAGTTTCTACACACGGGTGACATTCGCCCAGCGCCTCTCCCTGAGTGCCAACCTGGAGTGACAATGGAGAATAGGTGGAGATATAATTAGTTCTTTTCACACCTGGCCTACCTCAGCATCCAACACTTAACCAAGAGTGGTAATTTTGTTGACTTCCAACCCCTTATTATTTAACGTGTGAACAAAATTGATTTCTCTTGCCTTCTAAGTGAATCAGTCTTAAAATCACCTTTCCTTTTATTTGTAAACTCATATCATCTGTGACTAAGGACCTTCGATTTTTTTTTCCTGTCTGTATCTACTTTATCTCTTTTCCTTGTCTTATGACTTTGGCTCGGACTTCAGTTACTATACTGAGGGAAAAGTGAACATCTCTGTCTTAATCCTGATTTTAGCAGAAATTCTTTGGTGTTTCTCCACTTAGTGTGGTGTTGACTGTGGGTTTATTCTGTATTGCCTTCGTTCTATTGAGATACGTCCCAATATTCCTAGATTGGCCAGAACTTTGATTATGAGATATTCTGGATTTTGTCAGAGGTCTTATCTACCTCCGATGAGATGATCATGCGATTTCTGTCTTTGAGCCCATTTATGCGATTAGTTACATTTATTGATTTGCATTTGTTGAAACACCTTTCATCTCTTTTGATGCATTCTTGAATTCGGTTTGCAAGCATTTTATTAAGAATTTTTGTCTCCATGTTCATTGGAGAGACTGGCCTCTAATTCTATTTATTTATTTATTGTTTGTTTGTTTGTTTATTTATTTACGTTGGGTCTTTGCCTGACTTTGGTGTTATGGTAAATACTGGTTTCAGAGAAAGAATTTTGAAGTATTATTTCTGTTTCTATTTTGTGAATTCTTTGAGGAATAATGAAGTCAGTTTTTCCTGGAGGTTCTGGTAGGGTTCTGCACTGAGTCTTTTCTTGAGGCTCTGGTAGGATCCTGCTAAGTCCCCTTGGCCCTGGGGAATTCTTTAACTTGGGTGATGTTTACTTATGGTTTCTCTTGCTTGGTTGCTGTGGGGCTGCTTAAACTCTGTACTGTGTCTTGATTATACAATAGGAGGTCATTTACATATAGAAAGATATTCATTTCTTTTTATCCAAGTAGTCAAATATAGATTTTAAAAGTATGTCCTTTATATTCCCTGAATCTTTTCCAGCATCTGTTATCTTTCCCTTTTTAATTTTTAGTTTAATTAATTTGGGTCTTCTCTTTCTTTTGATTAATTGTTGCTAAAGTTTTGTTAATCCTGTTAACATTTTTAAAGAACAAACTTCATTTCATTGATACTTTGTATTGTTTTATTTTTCATTTCTATTTCATTAATTCCAGTGCTAACTTTGATTATCTCTATTTACAATTTTTGGATGCTTTTCTAATTTTTTAAAATTCCTGCAAGTGCATCATTAAGCTATTAATTTGAAATCTCTCTAATTTTTTATGTAGGCACATAGCGCTATAAACTTCCCTCAGGAAGCTTTCACTGTGTCTCTGATTCTAGTATGTTTCATTTCATTCTAGCAATTTTTAAGATTTCCTTCTTCTTTCTCCCCTGACTCCATTATCATTCAGTAGTGTGTTTGTGCATTTTCTGTGCACGGTGTTTCTGTAGCACATTCAATTGTGGTTAAGGTCGAATGCTGAAAGTTATTTCAGTTTTCCTTTATTCTTTGAGACTCGCTTTGTGTCATAATATGTGGCTGATTTTGAAGAAAGTTTCATGGGATGCTGAGGATAAAGTGTGTTCTTTAATGCTTGAGTGGAATGTTTTGCAGATGTTTATTAGGTCCATTTAATTTATGATATCATGGGCACCTCTAGGTCTGGGAAAGTTTCATCTTCGACTGTACTGAAAATATCCCCTACGCCTTTGTTACAGTATTCGTCTTCTATACTCATAGCTAAAAAGTTAGCTCTTTCACGGTGCTCCCAAACTCTCCCATGTTATGTTCATGGGAGAATTCAGTAAAACTTCTCGTTGGATTTTACTAAGCCATCCAACTCCTCTACTTTTTCCTACAGCCTCACTCTCTGTTTTTGACATGACCTACTCTGTTGGAGAGGCTTTCCACTTAGTTCTTATTTTGTCTTATTGAGTTTCAGTTTCCAGCATCATTTCAGTTCTGCTTTTCTACAGCATTTTTTTAAATTTAATTTTCATATCTTGGATTGACTCTTTTATTTAATTAATTTCTTTTTGTGGGATGCTCTTTGCATTATTTGTTCATAGTTATAATTATTCTTTGTCTGTAAGATCCTCCAGGCCATTTTCAATAGTATTTATTACTACAGGATTAGTAACTTTTGATGGTGACATGTTGTGTTTTTCATCTACTTTTGTGTGTCTAAAGTAGTGTGTAGTTGCCTATGTCTTTTTGATTAAATAGTCTTCCCTATTTCCAGGTAGACATATACAATGTTTAGGACTTCTTCTGAGGGTTTGAGACCTTGTTTTCTCATGTGGAACTTGTGTTAAGGATTCCTGGCTCTCTCCCTAGACTTTTGAAAGTCTCTGCTCCCGGCCTGAACAGTATTCAAAGGGCAGCACATTCTTTGCTGGTCTTCTTTGCTGTCTTCCAATGTGTAAGACTATGGCTCTGAGTGGAGCGGGCTCTGTTCAACCCAAGGTTGGAGACAGCTAGTTGTCTGAGGTGCGTGGCTCTAAGTAGCCTTTAGGTAGAAGGAGCTGGTATTTGCTGTGGATGGTGCTAGTTGTATGAGCTGGGCAGATCTACAGAGTTCTCTGATGGTGGCATGGGCTGGGCTGGGCAGTGCTACCTGTGAGGTCTGGCTCCACGATGTCCTCAGGGCGTGGCCTAAAATGGTCATTTAAGAGTGGAGAGGTAATGGTTTTCTTTTTTCAGGATGCCAGTTTACGCTTCTCATTTTCCAAAGTTTACCTTAATTGAAAACAAGAGTCAGCTGAAATTAAGGAGAGGAAACAAGAAAACAGAGACTCAAAGCAGGCCACTTCAGTTAGGGGCGTAGTAACTAGTTGCTCTAAATGCATTGTGAACTTTAGTGTTAAGTAACTTCTCAATGCTGCATGGTGGATGATACCGAAACAACGTCGTTTGGAGAATTATCCTTTCACACGGTGTTAATAAATATATAGTGAGTTGTCGTAAGATGAAATTTACGACGACTCTGGCTATGAATGGGAAATCTATATTAAGAACAATGGCTAATGATCCACATTGCTTCTCTCTTAAATATTGATGACTGGATGCCCACTGAGGTTCAGACAAAGGCGTTTCTTATGAAGTGACCACAGTTGGTCTCCAGATTTAGGAAGAATCAGTTGCATGCCTAAGTGTTCCTATGGCTAGTGAGCTGCAAGACTGGGTGGGACCTGAGCCAAAATTCAAGAGTGCCCCTTTAATCAACTCCCCTCCTCCGCCCTCAGAAAGGTATTGTTACTGCTTTGTAGATGGGTGCATCTCCCAAATTCGACATTCTGAGCTTCTGATTTTCCAGCTTTTTATCCCTCCCCAATTTACTCTAATTCATAAAATAATTTCAATAGTTTAAGAGCATGGAATATGAATCTTGTAATTTTGGGTTAAAATTATAGTTCTGCCATTAGTTAACTGTGTCACACAAGGCCATTTCTGTGCCATTTACTTTCTTCAGCATAAACCAGAATTGACAGTAATCATCACAAGCTAACCTGTTGTCTTCTGAGCAACAAGAGGCCCAGATCCTCAACAAGCCTACCAAGCCAACTCAACTTATTATCAAGAATCCCCCTACCCCCCACCAAAATGTGCTCAGTATGCCTTGTGCTTTTCCTCTGTGGCTCCAAATATGAAAGGTTTTGGGGAGCCCCATAGAAATCTTCATAAAGTATGGCTTTGTGTTTTCTCTAAGGTGTTCGAGCTGCTCCAAATTTTGTTGTGGAGAACACTGGCCCTCTCCTGGAAAATGCCTCTGCTCACACGCGGGTGGCCACAGTCACCGTGTCTCTCTCACCTCATACTTCTCTGGTTGGAGATCCCGTTATTCTTAATGTCAGCCCTGTGGTGCATCCTTTTGTGCTATCTCGTAGATTCTCGCATCTGTGGGATGTAAGTATGGAAGCAGATAGTATTAGCACACCTCAAGAGAGCTCAATGATTGTGTTTTCTGTCTTACTTTCTACTGCTTGTTTAGTTTGGTGTATGTGTGTGTGTGTGTTGTTTGTTGTCTGTTTCAGCTTTTTTTTTTTTGAGACAGAATTTTTCTCTGTATATAGCCCTGACTGCCCTGGAACTGACTCTGTAGACCAGGCAGGCTTTGAACTCACAGAGGTCTGCCTGCCTCTGCCTCCAGTACTAAGATTATACAATTAAGAGTTGGCCTTGAACTCCTGATCCTCCTTTCTTGGCCTTCCAAATCCTGGGATTATAGGCCCTCTTCATGCTTTTAACTAATTGAACATTCTACTCTTTGGGACCTTATGATGTGTCAAGTATCCTCAGAATCCTTGCAAATAACAAGGAGCTCCTGTTTTACAGGTACTGACTGAGGATCTAGTCAGATGCAAGGGAAAGCCCCATTCTCATCACATCTGCTTGCTTGCAGGAATACATGATAATTCAGTGAGCACACACAAATATAAAATCGTAAATACTACCCGAGCAATGAAGTACAAATTCTCAGACAAGTGAGAGCTCCAAACAGGGACATGTGATATAGTCAGGCTTCCCCTGGAGCGGAACTGTATGAAAAGGGGTCTGCAGAATGGGCAGGAGTTGAACAAATGGAGGAAGAGACCGTTACAGGCCGTGTGCCAAGGTCCTGTAGGAAGAAGGATCCTAATAAGGAAGAGGGACTGAAAGATCACTGTGACCAGATCTCAACAGGGAGTGTGGTAAGAGACCTGATTGCCAAGAGATGAAGGACAGAGTTTGTAGGACCTGGGAGATATGCTGGGAAGTGCTACTTATTGTCTCAATCTAAAAATAAAACTAATTCTCCTACTGGGGTGACACTCAGACAGGTTAGTGCTCATTATAAGAGATTTGGGTTCCCTAAGATCAAGGTTACTCAACCATGCTGCAAAGCTATTGCATGCTTAGCGTTCACCTGCCCCTACTGCACTGACCCCTGACATCTAAAAGAGCATTCAATGCAATAGCATCTTCAGACACAGTTGAACTGCCCTAGGCTGGTTTGGTTCTGGGCTGTGGTTCTGTCTTGCATCCGTCCAGGCCTTCAGGACAGTGACTGACAGAATAACCTTCCCTCAGGCCAAAATGAAGCAAAAGGATAAACTTGAGCCCATGTGCGCATTTTAAGAATCATATCTACTAAGGTTGTTGGCTGATGCAAATCATATGTCCAAGCTGTAGGAACTGCAAAGTCACATGGCAAAGGACACGAGTTCAGAAAGGAGCAAAGTATTAGAAACATAAGAACTGTAGAGTGTGGCAGAAAAGAGACAGGATCTGCCAATGCTTTAAAGGGATCCGCTTGAAGCTGCCATGGGCACACACTCTAGAGCAGTGGTTCTCAACCTTCCCAATGTTGCAACCCTTCAATACAGTTTCTCATGTCGTGGTGACCCCCAAACATAAAATTATTTTCATTGCTGCTTCATAACTGCAATTTGATACTGTTAATGAACTGTAATATAAATATCTGATATGCAGGATGTCTGATATGTTACCCCGGTGAAAGGGTTGTTTGACCCCCAATGGGTTGCAACCCACAGGTTGAGAGCCACTGTTCTAGACAAGGAAAGTATTGAATAGGACCTGGGATACCCTTACCACATCTTGGGATTATCAAATTCTATGAATTTGGTGTAAACTGCTATCTTGTACTTGTTCTCCATTTAGCTTCTATTATAAGCCCAACAAGCAAAATAGTGCCAAGACTCTGTAATCTTGCTGATCACTGTTTCCTGGTGTTATAATCATGGGGTAAACGGAGATGCTTCCTTTTCCTCTGTGGCGCCTCTGGTTATGAACAATATGAACCTGGGTAAATTACCTGACTTTCTCTGTTTCTGATGTTTCTGGGAAACGTGAGGAACAGTGATCATATTACCTGACTTGGGATGATAAAGCAATTCTGTGAGATAATTTATGTGCAGTTCCATGCTGCTGCTCGGGCCATTAGAAATGGTTGATGCCTAGTATTTGTTCTAAATACATATATTTATGATCCATCACTCAGCTAGGTTACAAATATTAAAAAACAAGAAATGTAGCCACATAATTAAAATGATATCCTCACTCCATGTGAAAATACACACCTGTAATCCCAGTACTAAGAACTGAGGATATAGATTCACCACTGAGCCTACCTGACTACATGGTGAGGCCTTTGGTTTGGTTTCGAGACAAAATCAAATTGTCATGTGTGGTGACTCACACCTGACATTTGAGAGGCTGAGATAGCAGGATTGCTGTAAGTTTAAAGCCTTCTTGTTTTCCAAATTGAGCTATAGGTCTACCTGGGCTATTGTATGAGGTCATGTCTCAACAAACTGATTAACCAACCAACTAACTGAAATAAAAAGACCAAACTCAAACAAAAGATACAATGTCATAGACTAGCTCTAGAAAGCATGAAAACTAGTTTGTTTTTGAGCTATCTTCATAAAACGTGCCTGCAAATGAAGATCCACCTTTACTACTGTACAGTGAAAGAGAGCACACTCTGTTTTACTTAGGGCTTCACGTATGTATCGTTATCCTTTCTTCTTCCCTATATACACGAAGCCAATAATCTGATCTTCCTTTATTGTGCTCTGTTTACAATTTTAGTTACTCATCACCGGAGAGCCCAAACTGGACTTCGAGACGGTAGCTCTCTACTCCTTGACGATATTTGCCAGAGACAGCTCTGAGGCAACAGCATCACAGACCCTTTTTGTCCAGATTGAAGACGTGAATGAACCACCTACTTTCACTGGGTCGCTTGCTCAGGAAGATCAAGGTACCAAGGGTCTGTTTTGGGGAAAGGAAGCCTGTGGACAGAAATATATGTCCTATGCCCTACGTCATAAGCGTTTTTATTGTCCCTTGGCTCTGACACTAAAGGAGAGAGATAATCAGCAAAAGTTGTGCCAGTGTGATGGCTCGGCAGGTAAATGTGTTTGTAATGCAAGTCTGATGACCAGAGTTTGGCCCTGGAACCCACAGAAGAAGTAGAGAACAGACTCCTGAAAGACTCTCCCGAACACCATACACATTATGACATATGCTTGCTCCCCCACTCATGCACATATGCACAAACACACACATACTAAATAGCTGATATGTAGTGGGCCCTGACTATGTATAAGAATAAGTCATGAAAGCTTTAAGTGGATTGTTTTGTTTAATGCTCACAACAGTGAAGGTAAGTTCTTCTGTTCCCTTGGTCCCGCTGCAAAGAAAATAGACTTCGGCGAAGTAACTTGCTCAGCACTGAAAACTATCCATGTATTTGATCACAGTGTACTAAAATCAATATCTTAAATGTATCTAGTTGTTAAACTAAAGGTGTCCTGAGGCTGGCTGTGATGTCTTTTTTGCTCTTTGCTCTCTCACCATGTGGGTGGCTCTTTCTCCTTCTGTGAAGTCAAATATTTAATTTCTACTTGTGAAAATATCCATACTGTTCATCGGGATTCACAAAACATAAAATGACTCAGATGTGGATATGCCTACTAACTGGACTGAGCTACTTATCTTTTGTGAACCCCACTCTCTTCATTGCTGTCTTAGATGGGAACTATTTCCCCAGGTTCATGTGTTTCAACAGTGGTTCCAAGCACGCGCAGCACTGTTTTGGGAGACCATGAACCTTTGAGAGGTGGAGCATTGTTGGAGGAAGAAAATCACTTGAGGCCTTAAGATTTACATCCCATCCGCTCGCTGTTCCCTGTTCTATGGAGAAGTTAAGGGGGTAGAGTGTTCTCGCTGCACACATCCACTGACATGGAGCCTCCTGCTACCATCTCCTCTTTCCATGACAGACTATATCAACAATAAGCCTGAACAAATCCATCCTCCCCTAAGTAGCTTGTTGTCAGAAATTTAGTCACAGCAAGGAGAAAAGTAACTAACAAAACCATTGGTTCAACTGAGATGTCAATTCTGCCTTGATGCACGTCTTAGTTAGGGCTACTCTTGCTGTGATAAAACATGACCAAAAATCCATTTGGGTAGTGCGGTTGTTTGAAAGAAATGACCCCCAAAGGGAGTGGCACTCTTGGAAGCTGTGGCCTTGTTGGAGCAGATGTGCCCTTGTTGGAGGAAGTATGTCACTATGAGGTTGGGCTTTGAGGTCTCCTTTGCACAAGCAACATCTAGGGAGACAGAGCACTTCCTGCTGCCTACATCTCAAGATGTAAAGCTCCCACCTCTTTCTCCAGCACCATGTCTATCTGTGTGCTGCTGTATCCTGCCGTGATGATAATGGACTGAACCTCTGAAACTGCAAGCCATCCCATTAAATGCTTTCCTTCGTAAGAGTCGCTGTGGTCATGATGACTCTTCACAGCAACAGAAACACTAAGACTGAAGTTGGTACCAAGGACTGGGGTGTTGTTGTGGTAGGTTGGCCCATGCTTTGCTTGAGGGCATATGGACTTTGCATCTGGGGATCAGAAAAGCAGTTGAAAGCTTTGCATGTTGATAATGGACCAGTCTAGTACGAGCACGGAAAGCAGTGGTGCTGAGTGTGATCTGAACTTGGGTGCCTGAATCAAGAGGTTTCAGAGAAGAAGACTATTAGTACGTAGCCTAGAGATCATTCTTGTGATATTCTGGTGAAGAATGTGGCTGCCTTTTGACCTTGTCTGACAAGTCTGCCCGAAGCTAAAGTGAAGAGGTTTGGATTAATTCTATTGGCAGAGGAAATTTCAAAACAGCCTAGTAGAGACACTGTTGTGTGGTTACTACTGATAACTCTAATGAAGATTTATAATGAAAAGGAGTAAGTTGGGCAGGGAAAATTACAAAATGTAAAATTTGAGGAGAGGGCACCAGCGAGTGGAATAGAACGAAGTCCTGTGTTGAAGACGATAAACAGATTAAGAAATGGAATAAAGCTGTGATGACCTCAGGTCAAGATTCCACCCAGCAAAGTTTCCAACTTATGTAAAAGAATTAAAGAAAAGTTTAGAGCCAGGCATGGGGGGTGCACGCCTTTAATCCCAACACTGGAAAGACAGAGGCTGGCAGATCTCTGAGTCTGAGGCCAGCCTGGTCTACAGAGTGAGTTCCAGAACAGCCAAGGACAGGCAGTGAAGGAAGCCATGGAAAACGGTGCCCGCACCACCTGGAACCGCAATCAAGCAAGGGCCTGGGGATTAAAGAACACAGAGACATGGGTCACTCTTGGAGCAAGAACACCAATTTTCTTCTGTTCCCAGACAGCTTATATAGTGCTTTTTTTGATTAGTGGTCACGCCCTAGCTCTCAGGATTTTCTACTGCAAGCCCACCAGAAACCACTTCCTTGTTATCAGGAACTCTTGAGGGTTTCATGCTCAGAGCAGCTGCAAGCATAGGATAACAAGTTGTTTACTCCGGCAGGCAAGAGGTCATAGAAAGTTCAGGATCTGAAGGTCTGCAACCCCTACCAGAAAACAGAAAGCTGGTGAATGTCCCTGGGCCCAGAGATGGACCTGATATAACTGAAAGTTTTCTCTTAACCAGATGCTTGACCCATGTTCCAGCCCCAGCAAGCAACAGAACTTGGCAGCTTTGGCCACATGGTTCTGGTTTTAGAGCCAAGGATAGAAGAAAGACATTATGGGATCCATGACTAAGGAAAGCCACTGAGGCCAGGTATGTGTCAGAGGTGTCCCTGAATGGAGACCTAAAAGGGCCATTGTGTGAAGCTGTGAAGGTGATGCCTGGATTGCCTTGAGGACCCCAGGATGTTCGAGATGCCAGAACCATGGGATACCTGCCAAGGAGAGCTGCGAACAGAGAGTGAAACCAGGCTAAGAGAAAGAAATGTGTCAACAAAACTGAAAGAGGTTGGAAATATGAAGAATGCTTTGACGTTAGACATGGAAATGCAGAGTTTGGAGTTTGCCCAGTATTTTTGGTCTTGCTTTGGTCCAGTATTTCCTTAATATGATCCCTTCCCTAGGTTTTGGAACGGCAATATGTATCCTGTGCCACTATATGTTGGAAGTATGTGATCTCTTTTCTTTTTATTGTATAGGGGATTACAATTAAGAAATTGCATGAACCTTAGAAGAGACTTTACACTTTGAACTTTAAAACATTGTTTTTAAAAACTGTAATGGACTATGGGGACTTTTGAAGTTGTACTGACTGCATATTGCATTATGGTATGCTTACAAGCTTACGGGAGTCAGAGAGTGGAATGTGGTAGTTTGAATGTAGTTGGCTCTCATAATCTCACAGGGAGCAGTACTATTAGGAGGTATGGCCTTGTTGGAGGAATCGTATCACTGTGGGGATGGGCTTTGAGGTCTCCTTTGCTCAAACTACACCCAGTGAGACTGACCACTTCCTATTGTCTGCATATCAAGATATGAAACTCTCAGTTCCTTCTCCAGTACCATATCTGCCTGTGTGCTGCTGTGCTCCACTGTGATGATAATGGACTGAATCTCTGAAACTGGTAGCCACCCCATTAAGTGCTTTCCTTGGTAAGAGTTTCCCTGGTCATGGTGTCTCTTCACAGCAGCAGAAACCCTAACTAAGACAAGGGAGTAAAAGGTTTATTTGGCTTACACTTCTGCATTGTAGTTCATTACTGAAGGAAGGTAGGACAGAAACTCAAACAGGGCAGTAACCCGGAGGCAGGAGCCGAAGCAGAGGCCATGGAGGAGCGTGGTTCTGTTTCTTCTTTTTTAGGATTGTGGGCTGCATGGGTCCTTGAGGGTAGAGGGAGCAGAAGTGGGGAACAGGGTTTGGGATGTCTGTGGGTACAACAGAGACAGCCTTCTGGGAGATGACTTTGACGAATCAGCTCAATTTTATTCCACAGTATAGAAAATACACAGGATTGGGAAGCCTGGGGACAAATCCTAATTTGCATTACGTGGCACGCTGCTATCAAAAGGCTTCATGTGTAGCAAGCAGTAAGGTCAGAGCACAAGTCTTCTAGGAGGAAGGGTCAAGGGTCAAGCATCTGGTTAAGAGACAGCTTTCAGTTACATAAGGTCCATCCTCTGGGCCCAGGGACATTCTCCATATAAGGGCAGGTTGAGGCAGGAAGTTTCTCTGGGAAGGAGGAACTTTCCATGTTGCCCTACTTTTGGTAAAAGCTGTCAGGCCATAACAGACTGCAGCATTGACCAGTCATCAGTGCCTTCCATCAGAGGGGAGCTGCTTACTGGCTTGTTCAGCCTGCTTTCTGTAGAACCCAGGACCACCAGCCCAAGCACCAGCACCACCCACAATGGGCTGGGCCTTCCCCCATCAATCACTAATTAAGAAAATGCCCTACAGCTAGATCTTAGGTAGTCGTTTTTTTGTTTTTTTTTCTCAACCAAGGTTCCCTCCTCAGATAGCGTTAGCTTGTGTCAAGTCAACAAAATCCTATACAGCACAATGCATATGGTATTTGGAAGTGCCAGATAATTTTGTGCACACAATCAGTGCTCCACGAATGTCAGAGTCTCTCCTTTTCTCCCCAAACACGTGATGAAGCCTTGGGAAGACTCAAGGTTAAACCATGCTTGTTTGATTTCTCAAACAGTGAGTCAGGTGCTGGAGTGCTTGTGGGTAATCCACAAGGGTTGTGTGTTGGAAGTATAGACCCATGTGGCTATGGTCCAAGTAGGCATTGCAGACCTCCCTGGTATCCAAAAGTACTGCTTTCTTCCCCAAACAGGGCAGCAATAACTGGATATTCCTTTCTGGATTTAAGAGTCTTACCTTTCCCAGCTTTTTTAATCCCCTAAAGTACATTTGTAAGCTTGCAGTTACTGTTACTATCTTAAAACATGTAGCAGGTGGGCATGTGGCTCAGTGATAGAACATGTGCTTAGCATGTGTGAGCCCCTAACTTTCCCCACAACATACATGGGAATAGGGAAAACTTAAGAAGAAAACAAACATGGAAACAATGCTGATGTGTTGGCTCCATAGTCTTGGGTTTGTTGGTAGTTTGTAAATTCTAGTAGAACTAGAATGATTAAACCCACCAATGATGTTAAGTGCTTAGCTATTAATAAGCCTTAAAATTGCCTAGTACTGTTATTTAAAATTATAAATCTTCTTCCTGTATGCATGCATGATGGTGATAGACAATACAGTGTGGTCTATAATCATCATTATTGTTACTACTAGCTTAACTGGAATTACTGTATAAAGCATCTAAAAGTACACTACTTTAAGATTTTAATTTTTATTGTCCTATATTAATTATGTGACACAATAATTAATTATTATGACATTTTCATACTTATACATGACATATTTTGATCATGTTTATCCCCTTATGCTTTATTCACACATAATTGAATGAGGCATTTTGGGATTTAGTACTGGTGAGACTAAGAGAATCACATCTATTGTACTTTTTTGGGCAGTTTCTGAGATTTACATCACAGAAGACATTGCACCTGGCACCATCATTTACAAAGCAGTGGCCAAGGACCCAGAGGATGCTGTGTTGGAGGTAATTTGTCTTTTGGAATAAAGAATATCAATGCCTTCTAGTTTGTGCATGATTACATTTAAATGTGGAAACATAAAAGCCATCAAGTTATTTATACCCTCCAATTACATCCAACAATCATCTTTGACTTATCAGGATATTTCAGGTGAAAACTTTTGATGTTATCTAGGTGATTGGTTTTTTTGTTTTTTTGTTTGTTTTGTTTGTTTTGTTTTGTTTTTCGAGACAGAGTTTCTCTGTGGCTTTGGAGCCTGTCCTGGAACTAGCTCCTGTAGACTAGGCTGGCCTCTGCCTCCCGAGTGCTGGGATTAAAGGTGTGTGCCACCACTGCCTGGCTAGGGGATTGTTTCTATTCTACTACATCCAGTTCTGTGTAGGCAGACTAGCCTAACTCTCAGGTACTAAAGAGGTTGATATATTTCATTTTTAGGGAACTTGGCTGCACATACTGTAGAGAAACAAACCCATCTTTCTGAGATTAATGTGTATTTCAAAACCTTAGGTCTTATTCTCAGGCTTCATACAAAGAGGGAAGAGACGCTGAACCTAAAGGCGTAAGCTTAACTTCTGACTTGACCAACGGAGGTCACTTCCTCCTTCTGCTTTGCTGTTTCAATGCTAGATTTGTGGGAACGTCACGGGCCTGCTTTATCCTCTCTTGTACGGCTCGCTCATTATAATCAAACACCGTAAAGAATGTGAACGCCGTTTTCAAAATGTTAAACGTTTTGTAAATGGCAGGATTTATAAGACCATTTTAATTTTTGATGCTGTATGAAATGATTATGGCATTAAGCCAGGATGTTTTTGACTAATGGGTTGATAGGCAAGAATAACAGGCTTTAAATTTTTAATCTTGTATCTCTTTTCCAAACTGGCTAAAAAAAATGAGAGGCTTGTTTATATTGATACTGTGTTTTCAACATTGACAAATAATTGGATTCTTCTTCAAGGCAACTGAGTCTTCCAGAATTTGATTTGTGCAGTAAATGACCACTCAGCATCTGGCATAGTGTCCACATGGCTTTTAAAATTACCATGGAACACTGCTCTTGTCAAGATCCCTCCCCACACATTTGTCTCTTCCTCCTCTCAAGAACAATGCCACCTCCAGGATGGGACTAGAAAGGTCACAGTTTGCTTTACAACATGCAATTAAACAACCTAATCATGCATATTGCTCCAAATTAACACGTTCCAGATTATAGTATTAAATCCAGTACCTAGCAACCGTGGCTACATAGGAAGCAGACAGTCTGTAGCAATTACTTCCTCAGGGGTCTTTATGATAGCTCACCACAATGTTGACATTTTAGTATAGCGAATATGTGACATGGGTTTCAGTTGTGACTCTAACATGCAATTCAAATGTCTCACTAGCCGTTAAACACAAGTAATTAATTTCAAGTGATGGACTCCTTGTCGCTTGCTCATACAGATTAAACACTTCTGATCCTGGCCCTATACTTTTCTTAGAAGAGGATTGATTCCTGGAACACATTTGGAAGGCCCATGTAATGTTCTTTGTGAATTTTACCAAACATGGAATGGCATTTCAGTAATGACACAGGCTGTGGAAATTTCCCTTTAGACACCCTCCTACACACATCCTCCGGCACTGTAGATTAGACCAGATGTGTTACTTAAATACGATGACTGGAGAGTTTGTTTGTTTGAACCTTTCTATAGACTCAGAGATAAACTTGCTCTAATGTGGAGAAGAGTTGGCCACTCTTCTGAGGTCTGACAGATTACATTCATAACTGTATCATGATAGGCATGTGCCTTCATGATTGAATCACCATGGTATCGTTAAGTAGACGCTGTCGTTTGCTATGCTATAACCTAGTGAGCCAATAGCAAAAACATCATGACTTTAATTTATAGAAAAAAGGCATCTGCTTAATCAAGAAGTAGAGTTAATTCAACTCCATGTCCACCTGTCTCTAAACCTTGTTGTTTCCTAGTTCATCAATAGTTCCCAAAGTGTATTTTATAAGGCATGAGTTCTATCACATACACGATGAGAGAAATGAAAGAACACATGACCTCAGGATCTTAGAAATGTCATCTTCATAGCTTTTTTAAAACTTATAATGTGCAGTATATTAGATGCTCACAGAAGTTATCTAATAGAGATTTGTTTAATAATTCTTGTTTTAATTGTCACTAGTCTTACAAATGCGTAACATGTTATGTAATGTTTAATGAGCATTTTGTAGTATAAAGTTTATATTAGGTCTTAGTGTAAAAATAGGCATAATGTGACCTAGGATTGGCATCATTATAGGGATGAAAGATGAAGTTTTGGGTGAGGATGTTGTTTACAGACCAAATGTTAATGCCCTGAGGGTGGATTTCATCCACCTTCAGGCCCACCTGAAGTTCAGGACCTGACGTCTTCCTGCTGCGCCACCATTGCTGAGGGTATATATTAAGGACATCCAATAATACTGTGCTGCAGGAGACATTGTCAGACACAGAGAATGTGGGACTAATCATCTTTATAATAAAGAAAATCTGAACAAAACAAAATCAACATCTTTCTTGGGCTCCTCCAGGTACACCACCGCCCTAAGACCTGGAGAGACTAGGAAATTCGTTTTATTGCAGTTTAGCTCAGCCTCCCTGGAGTGAAAGGTCAGAGCCCCCGCAGGAAGACTCATAGTAGAGGCTGAGTGTGAATTCACATGAGAGTGGAAAACCGGGAACAGTCTTAGGCAGGTACACATTTTCGTGGGTCTTAAATCAAGAAACTCCCCCGGATTTTCATAGTGCACATCCACCAAAAACACCTTGTGTGTCTAGCAGAGTGGTAACAGATTATTGGGAAAAAAATTGCCAGGCCCTTCTCTATGCAAAGCCTATCTCTCCAGATAAGAGAAGGAAGATTTTGATGGAGTTTTCTCCACTTGAAATATACATACATATTAATATATGTTTATGTATGTACACACATGTATATGCACATACATGAAGATATAATGGTGTTGGAGAGATATTTTGCAATACCTATAGAAGAATAAAGATAAAAATCACAGCAGACTTCTCATTCAAAAACATGCAAGTAAGGAAACACTGAAATAGAGTATTTTAAAAGTTGTAGAAAAGCCATGACAGACAAGAATTTTATATCCAGCAAAACTATATCAAGTCATGAAGTTGAATATCTTAAAAGTACTGATATGAAATATACTTATTAGAAAAAAGATACCATCTTAATTTTTAAAAGGTAGAAATGACTTCTTAATATGAAAGCAGGTATTCTCTACTAACACATCCACTCTCCACAACGTGCTAAAGAATTTCATGCATGGAAGCTCATCAGGAAAAGAGAAATGACATAACCAGAACCATGAACCTATGTATTTCTTCTCATAAGAGAACAGATGAATGGAAAATGTAAGTATTTTCCATTTTTCATTGACAAAGGATCAGTTTCATGGTGACTGGTATTGGGTGCTTATAGCACAGGGAGAGTAAAATGAGAGATGATAGCCTATGTTACAGGAGGGAGGCATTAGGGATTCTCAGTTACATGTTGCCCGCACCACCTGCACAGTGATACAGTATTTATTACTTCTAGCTGCATGTGGTTTAGCTGAAATGTATATTGGAAACACAGAGGAAACAACTGACAATCTTGTAACTGATACATTTTGGGAGAAAATAAAATAATGCGAAATATTCATTGAGAACATTAAGGGAAAGAGAGACCACCTCTAGCTCATGGAAAACAACATGACAATTTTAGATATTAATTCAAGGAACATAAAAATTCAAAGAACTCGTCAGAGTGAATTAAGAGAGTAAAGGCTCAGCTCTGCTGTCTACATGAAACCTATTTTAAATACAAAAACTCACATTGGTTCACCGCAAAATGATAGAGAAAAGATGCACCCTTCGAAAGTGAGCCAGGCAGATATACTAATAAAGCAATGTTTATTGAACAAGACAAGGATGCCTTGATTTCCTCCATGGGTGATTAGAAGTTGCCACAGAGACCCCTTCTCTCTGCATGTGTCACATTCACAAGGCTGGGGGTGTCAGATGGTGATGACTGTTGGCTATCACTTGAAACTGCTCTCTGTGGAGATTATCTGGCTGGCTCACCGGTTTTCCCCAGCTCTGCCCGCATAGACCAGACCACACTCCAGTCTCACCACACAAACCTCCCCACCTCGGCACGGGATGTCCTCGTTCCCAGGAACGTGGTAGTGGTCGCACGGCTGTTGGGAGTCACCGTGTATCTTTCTTAGTGCATCAAAAGTTAATTGAAAACCGGAACACATTGTCTCAATTCCATTCTGCTTTAAAAAAATCTTTTTTTCGAACAATATAAATGTATTGGAATAAGAAATGGGGGGGTAGAATATTTTATTCAACATTTATTGGGCCATTGCCATTTGTAATGGTGAAATAAATGTATAGCCCAAAGAATAACTCTCTCATGCATCTTGTCGAGTGTGTGTCTGGGAATGATCAGTGAGAATTGGGTGACATAGGTCCAGACTTTCAGATGATAAGAGATGGGGGTGAGTGCAGGGCAGAAAGAATGGTATTGGCCTGTATTACAAGCAAGAGGGTAGATACGTGTCATTAGTATAGCAAAAAATATATTTTATTATGCTGAGGGTCATCACACAAGGTTCACACTCTAAATTCCTAATCACAAACCTAAGTCTATAGCCTATCTCCCCAAGGCTGCTCACCTCTGCAGCGACATATCTTAGTTGAAAGTCAGGTCATCAGGGTCCTGCCTCTAACAGCAGTTTCAGGATCTGGAGAGGAGACTCTCCAGCCCGAGGGCAGATCAAGTTGGCATCTCTCCAGATGTGCGGAGCAGAGCATTTCTCATGGTCTCTGCTTGCATACCATCCAGTGGACATTGTGGGGTCTAGGACTGTGTCTGCTTATCGCAAGTGAGTGACGTCACTGAGATCTGGTTATCAGTGCAATGTCGTGGTATCAGTGCTTGGGTGTAGTGGGGAATCCTTACT